ACGCCAACAGAAAATGACCTGATGACTGAATGAGGCTGAAATGAGGGTTTTAAACGTTGTTCTCTGGTCAGAGTGGCCATGTCTTCTGTTGGTTTTGAGTTCTGGTTGGAAAGATCTTGACTTGGATTTTGGTCCTGGTAGCTGTCCCGTTCCATGTCCTACATTCACCTGTACGTTTAGGATGCCGTGACCAATCACAGCGCTCACCTTAAATAAACAGGAAACTCTAAAGAATGAAACTCAGATGGGCAAAACTGCAGTTCCTCAAGTGGGCTGTTTCCGACCCCGTACAACCGTCAACAACAACAGCAGGTCGGTGTCAGACGTCAGAAGTGTCTACAACTGCTGCTGGGCATTTTGGAGAAACAAGAAGATGGAGCATCGTACAGCGTTGTTTTTGTCCGACATGATGGACGCGCTACTTTTTCCTCCTCTCTGGTGTTCTTGATCCGGGGTTTCAGGGGGCGTGGCGCACATGCATTGTCTGATCATACTCCGACTACGCTGGTTACATGGTCAAGAAAATCGAATTCCAATCACATCATCTGGGTGTCCTAGGGTCCGGAACGGCTGTGCTCAAATCCGGCACGGCAGGTAGATCAAATACGCAATCAGAATCCATCCGTCATACGTCCAGCAGCCGGATCAGATGCTCAAGGCTTCTCTATGTGCCGGATGCCACAGCACAGCGCATCGCAGCAGCGGAAGTTGTACATAGTCGATACGTTGAACTGTTCTTAGCTTGGCAATAGGAGAGGCCAGGGTTGTAGGATGTGGGTGTTCATGTACACCGACTGGTGGATCTCATTCAGTGTCTTACAGGGAAAGATCTTGTTCAGTCTTGCGAATCAGTAATATCGCGAGAGATTGACCTTCGACGGTGGCTGCGGATCAGAGCCAGTGGACGTTGTATGGTTGCGTTCCGGATCCTGTGGAATTCCCGGGATTATCAGAGTACTCTGACTCCGATTATAGTCGGACTAAGGTGTTTACATGCACTTCAGTTGTCCGGTCTTTATCGGAGTAAGGCGATAATTCGGACTGGTTCGGACTGATTGTTGTCAGGGGATTCAGTCGGCTCATGACGTAACGAAACGTCCCTGTTTCCATCCCAGCGGTGATGATTCTGACCTTTCTCACAAAAACGACGACGACACTGTCACCTCGCTGTGTGGTCGAGAGACATCCGCTCACAGAGGGGGGAGAGAGGGAGAGAGGGAGAGAGGGAGGGGGAGACAGAGCTGTCGAGGGACATGAGCAATAGGTTTAATTAATTCAGAGAGAACTGTAACACTCTCTCTCTCTCTGTTTCCCACTGTCAGTCTAGCTCTCTCGCCCCCCTCTCTCCCTGTTATATAACTCTATTGAAGCTCTCCTCCAGATCCTCCAGAGACAAACACAATGAAGACGAGCGAGCGCTGACAGCTGCTCCGCCTGCAGGGACCCCCCACCCCCCCACCCTAACAAACGAGAGAGAGAGAGAGAGAGAGAGAGAGAGAGAGAGAGACAGAGAGAGAGACAGAGAGAGAGAGAGAGAGAGAGAGAGACGGGTTCTCTTCGTACACGCCGATGATCAGTCTGTCTGTGGCGCTCTCTCCGAGCAGCAGAGGACTTTTATTTTGAAAGGGAAGGTGATGGCGTGGATCTGCTCGGGGGACGTGGAGCTGACGTGTCCTGACGCAGCAGCTGTTCGGGGACAGTGGACGCCAACACGCCGGAGCAGACGGACCGTGTCCTGATGCGTGAATGTTACCTGTTAATCACACCTGAGCCGTTACCGTGACAACGATAAGAACCGCCCGAGAGGGGCGACCATCAACAACCGGGCCTGGGACAGAACACCTGTGCTGCAGTCAGCTGATCGGCTCCTGTACGCCGTGACACTCAGAAATACACTCGGTCACCGTAGCAACCACCTGTACTGATCTGACAGCAGGAAGTGATGTCATCCTGGCGTCTGTGTGTGAAGGATGATCAGAGAGAGAGAGAGATAGGTTGTCACTATAGTTACAGTAACGGTTGCCGAGGTAACCGGCCCCCGAGGGCTGAACAGCTGTTACCATGGAGTTGCCGTGGAGACGGGCAGTCAGCAGAGAGAGAGAGAGAGAGAGAGAGAGAGAGAGAGAGAGAGAGAGAGAGAGAGAGAGAGAGAGAGAGAGAGAGAGAGAGAGAGAGAGAGAGAGAGAGAGAGAGAGAGAGAGAGAGAGAGAGAGAGAGAGACAGAGAGAGAGGGAGAGAGAGAGAGGAGAGAGAGAGAGAGAGAGAGAGAGAGAGGGAGAGAGAGAGAGAGAGAGAGAGAGAGAGAGAGAGAGAGAGAGAGAGAGAGAAAGAGAGAGAGGGAGAGAGAGAGAGAGAGAGAGAGAGAGAGAGAGAGAGAGAGAGAGAGAGAGAGAGAGAGGGAGAGAGAGAGAGAGAGAAAGAGAGAGAGGGAGAGAGAGAGAGGAGAGAGAGAGGGAGAGATAGAGAGAGAGAGAGGGAGAGAGAGAGGGAGAGAGAGAGAGAAAGAGAGAGAGGGAGAGAGAGAGAGAGAGAGAAAGAGAGAGAGGGAGAGAGAGAGAGGAGAGAGAGAGGGAGAGAGAGAGAGGGAGGGAGAGAGAGAGAGAGAGAGAGAGAGAGAGAGAGAGAGAGAGAGAGAGAGAGATGTGATTAATTTCTTTTTTTTTAATTTACAGATGAACGGATCAGAGGGAGAGCTGGAGTACGAAGAGATCACACTGGAGAGGGTGAGACACACACACACACACACACACACACATACAGTCACTGTCACACACACACACACACACAGAGTTATTTTGGTCTCTGCTGGTTTATTTTAGAAACTTCTGGAAGCTGAAGTCTGAACTCTGTCAGAGACGAACTTTGATCATGAATCACTTTAGTCTGCATGATCAATAACACACACACACACACACACTCAAATACACACACGACTGTTTCCTACTGATGCGACTCTAAAGAAACAGACTGTACAGATTACTGATACCAAAAACGTGTGTGTGTGTTTGTGTGTGTGTGCGTGTGTGTGTGTAGGGGAACTCTGGCCTTGGTTTCAGTATCGCTGGAGGGACAGATAATCCTCATATCGGAGACGACCCATCCATCTTCATCACAAAGATCATCCCAGGGGGCGCCGCCGCTCAAGACGGGCGCCTCAGGTAAACACACACACACACACACACACACACACACACACACACACACACACACACACACACACACACATCTTTACACACCTTCACCAGCGAGGAGACAAACTGACATCACTTCTCTCTCCGTCTGCAGGGTGAACGACAGCATCGTTTTTGTCAACGACGTGGACGTACGCGAGGTCACGCACTCCATCGCTGTGGAGGCGCTGAAGGAGGCGGGGCCTGTCGTCAGGCTGTACGTCCTGCGGCGACGCCCACCAAATGAACGAGTCACACAAATCAAGCTGATGAAAGGGCCGAAAGGTGAGGAGGTCTGATGGTGCGTTCCAGTTAGATGTCGGAACTGAGAATGGCGTCACACCCGAGTTTCCCGCCGTTTCAGTTTTTAAGTCGGAAAAAGCAAAATCGGAGACGGAAACAAGATGGCTACATCAACGAAGGTTATTGTAGTGCAGCCTTATATCCAGACAAGGCAAGCGTTAAAATAACTTTCGTAGACGTAGCCATCTTGTTTCCATCTACGATTTTGCTTTTTTCCGACTTAATAACTGAAACGGCGGGAAACTCGGGTGTGACGCCATTCTCAGTTCCGACATCTAACTTCTGAGGAAACTGGAACACAGCATGGACCTAGCATGGCTGTGTACCCGTGACGTTCCTGATGGGTCGAACACGCCGCAGCCTCCATGGCGTTCTCTCAGGAAGTAAAGGTTCTACCCTGTTCTGTGGACCCGTTATTTAGGAGGTTCTGAGCGAATCAAACAAGGTCAGCATCTGCAGGCTTTTATTCTGGCGGGTCTCTTCCTGTCTGCTCTAGGTCTCGGCTTCAGTATAGCCGGTGGTGTCGGGAACCAACATGTTCCAGGAGACAACAGCATCTACGTCACGAAGATCATCGAGGGCGGGGCGGCACACCGAGACGGACGGCTACAGATCGGGGACAAAATCCTAGCGGTGAGAAAAAAAACCTGAAAATGTTCTTTATTGATGATCCACAGTGACCTGAACCTGCCTGACCCCTGACCTCTGACCCCGCAGGTGAACCACATGTCTCTAGAAGATGTCCTACACGAAGACGCCGTGGCCGCCCTGAAGAACACAGGAGAGGTGGTCTACCTGAAGGTGGCCACGCCCACTTCGCAGTACATCCACTCTGTTGATCGATACAGCCCCCCCGACCTGACCAGCTGTAAGTACACCTGAGACCATCCACACCTGAGACCATCCACACCTGAGAACATCCACACCTGAGAACATCCACACCTGAGACCATCCACACCTGAACTCAAGGGTCCTCGTTTATCAACCGTGCGTACGAACATTCTTACGTAAAGTCGGAATTGATCGACCCGGACTTGTTCTTAGGAACGCGAGTAAACTGAAGCCGAACTCTGAGCATGCTTACACTCAAACCCTAGTGGTAGAACAGTGGAACTACAACTAGAACCATCAAAGGAGTCACAGTGTTCAGCAATCTCAAACTTCACACATGTTCTCTGTTCCCTCTGTACAAAATCGATCAATTAGTTATTGATCAGACATTTTGAATGATTGGTGTGACGAGCTATCATCATCCCAGTGACCATCCAGCTCCTGTCCACCCTAACCCGACATTTCAGCCTGAGATCGGAGACATATACGACATTTCACAGACAACGCTAACAGAATCATGTCGGCAGAGTTGATCAATAATTTCTCCGACCTCGACTTACATCCAGTTCTCAAACACACGTCAGCAACACGCCGAAATAAAACCAGGATTTCACGCCATCGCCGGATTCCCATTCAGGCATTTTTAAAGGGATTGTTGATACCATATATGGTCAATAGGAGGCGTGTCTGAATGTAAATTACCCTAACCATGAACGAGCACGGTGGGAGCAGACAGGTGGGATTTATCATCACCGATTATTTACTGACCGGTGTCCGCATGTTAGAGAAATACGATTTTCTTGTTCTTACGCACATTCGACATTTCATTTCATTTCATTCCTACTCACCGTTGATGAATGAGGACCCTGGACTCCAGATGTTTCTGAAACTACCGAGTTCTACCTGAGAGAAAAACCAGTAAACCCAGTCTGTGAACCAGTTTGATGTTCCTGTAGCGCCCCCTCAGGACTAACGCTACAGTGACGTCTGTGGGCATAGACAGGTGTAGTCTGGTTCCTGTAGGCAGGTGTAAACAGTCTCAGATTCATTCAGTTCTACAGTCACCACTATGGGGCAGCAGCAGACTCCAGGTCTCATATTGTGGTCTTTTTTTCCAGCCTACATGGAGCCGGACTACATGTGCGATTACCCACAAGCCCTCCCTCCCCCGTCTCCACGGCGATACTCCCCGATCCCCCGGGGCATGCTGGGAGAGGACGAGTACTCCCGGGAGCCTCGCCGGGTCTGCGTGCAGCGCGGATCCACCGGACTGGGCTTCAACATTGTGGGCGGGGAGGACGGCGAGGGGATCTTCATCTCCTTCATCCTCGCAGGAGGACCAGCGGACCTGAGCGGGGAGCTCCGCAAGGGGGACCAGATCCTCAGTGTGAGTACAGGATCCTCCAGAGCAGACTCACAGTGGGGTCAAAGGGCATCTTTGGGAGAACTAGTGATTCGTTGTCTTCACGTCTGAGTGTCGTTAGTGTAGAAATAAAACCGAATGATGTTTTTACCAATAATCTGACCCACAGGAAACGACAGTGGGTCTAGAATGGCGCCCTGTGGAACCATCTTGGTTCCGCCTTCTGCCAGAATACGGATTTGAAGCCGAAAAGTTCTCAGTAATTCCGGGTTTTTTTCTCCTCTTCCTGAAACCAACATTGCGCAGTAGCGTTGTACGCATTCGGCGAGAGAGTCGCTGTGATGACGCTCGGCTCAAACAGCGTATCCCCTGGTGATCTCCTCAATCTCTGTCCTCCCATTGGCTGTATCAGGTGTCAATCATCAAAAACATGAACCCCCTAATAACTTTTAAAAACTGAGCTGTACAGAAAAAAGAGGACTTGGTGTCGGTTCTAGATACAGTCTATGGTGCTGAGAAGAGGACCCGACAGTGTCCCCCTAACATCTGTCAGAGCGGTTCTGATGACTTCAGAATTCGTAGGAAGGTTTGATGATGTCACAGATGTTCCCGGACTGTTTCAGTTTGTTTACAAAAGTCCAAAGGTTTCTCAAACGTTCCGGAATGTCATTGATCTTTTAGAATGTCTTTGATGTTATGGAATGTTCGGTGATATTCTAGAATGTTCTACAGCCTCCAGAGGGTCACCACTATAAAATTCACCTCACAAACGGAGCTGGTAGGAATTGGCGGACAGTGAATATCGCCGCCGTTCTGGATGTGGTGGAAATTGGGGGTTAAAACCTGCGTCTGAAAACCTCAGGGTTGAGTCTGTGGGGAGAAAGAAAACCTGAACTTCATCAAAGTTAGATCTTCAGTCCTAAAGGACGTCACAAGACCGCTCTGTCTTTGAGCTCTGTCCAAGTTACTTCACAGTTTAAATATACATGTGTGTGTGTGTGTGTGTGAGAACAGGTGAACGGGGTGGATCTCAGGTATGCAACACATGAACAGGCAGCAGCAGCTCTGAAGAACGCCGGACAGACCGTTACCATAGTAGCTCAGTACAGACCTGAGGGTGAGCGTGCACACACACACACACACACACACACACACACACACACACACACACACACACTTTTTTGAGCTAACACACTAAAACACAGAGCTGGCACTTATATGAGACACACCAACAGACAGATGAAGCTAACACTGAGTGTGTGTGTGTGTGTGTGTGTGTGTGTGTGTGTGTGTGTGTGTGTGTGTGTGTGTGTTTTCAGAGTACAGCCGGTTTGAAGCGAAGATCCACGACCTGAGGGAGCAGATGATGAACAGCACGTCAGGGAGTCTGAGAGCCAACCGCAGCTTCTACATCAGGTGAGGTCTACCTGTCCAGGTGGCCATATTTTATTTTCGTGGGATGGTAGGGGAAGGTCCCACCTCCTTTGCCTCTTCTAGCCAATCACAGGCGAAGGAGGGCGGGACCTTCCCCTACCATCGTACAAAAAAAATCCTGCGTCCAGGTGAGTCCTCCGGGGTACAGGTGTGTGTGTGTGTGTGTGTGTGTGTGTGTGTGTGTGAGCGGGTGTCATGAAACAGTGTGTGTGTCCTCCTGTTTCAGGGCTCTGTTCGACTATGACAAGCAGTGGGACTGCGGCGTCCTATCACAGGCTCTGGATTTTAACTTTGGGGAGGTGCTTCACGTGATGGACAGCGCCGACGACGAATGGTGGCAGGCCAGACGAGTGAACCAGCAGGGGGAGCTAGAGGAGCTGGGCTACATCCCGTCCAAACACAGGTCTGTACTGAACCAAGAACTGCAGTATGTGAGGTAGTAACATGTCTTAGGACACTGAGGTATTACTGTAGTACTACTGTAGTACTACTGTAGTATTCCCACAGTATTACTGCACCAGTCTAACCCCTCCCCCACCCTGATGTCTGTGTGTGTCTGTGTGTGTCGTTGCAGGGTGGAGAGGAAGGAGTGGTCTCGCATGAAGAGCAAAGGTGAAGATGAACACGAACACGGACTGAACAAGTGTGTTACTGTGTGTGTATCAGTGTGTAACTCTGTGTGTGTGTGTGTGTGTGTCTTGGTTCGCAGGTCGGGAAGGTTTCGTCCACAGCTACGAGCTCATCACTCAGATTGAAGGTGAGTGTCACTTTGACCCCAGAGGAAACGTCCACTCATAGGTCACAATCGTTGACAACAACACGGACTGTCCCTTTAAGTGGGTTCAGACTACAGAGTGTGTGTTGTTGTGTTGTTGTGTTATGCTCCAGCTTCACTGTTGTTTGTTAACACGGTCCGTGATTGGTCGGACGGTCTTGTCAGAGATGAATACCCTGAACTCCATCTCAGCTGGTGTCACGATTCCGGAACGGCTGCGGTGGAATCGTTTGTGAGGCGAATTTTGTGGCGGATTATAGAGTCGTCTCTCTAAAGACAGACACATAGACATATAAGCAGTAGATTGTGTCCTTCCAGAGGAGGAAATCTACTTCTAGACTTCTAGAATCAGCATCTCCTCATCCATGGAGTCATCGGGGTGAAATGACGTCTAAAAACCTTTCACTTGTTCGTCTCCGCCCGTTTGCATGGTGTGTCCGGCGATCCGCAGAGGAACGGAAAGAAGTCGGTGTAAATTGACACGTTAACTTGAATGGTTACGATCAGCTACGATCGGAGGATACGACCTTTTAGGAGACGATCAGGATGAAGGTGGAAGTTGGGGGTCAGTCCTCCTCCTGAAATCGGCACAGTGAGTCAGAACTTAGATTTTAACGTCAGGACCCGGGCCCAGATGATGCTGAAAAACCAAAAACAGTCCTGTTAGCATCAAGAACTTCCTCCTCTCTTTGACCGGAGTTCTCCTAACGTCACCTTCAGACGGGTAGACCGGTCCTCCACCTGCCTCTGCTCCATGATCTTGATTGGCCAGTAGGCCGGGGTTGTATACTTAGCATGAGTTACCATGGTGATGGATAATAAACCCCCTCTAACCCACTATGTCAGAATAAAATTGGGAAAGAACTCCACCCCCATGTTCCACCTGTTTACATGGCGGGCCATAACCTATGCTGCAGCCAGTCAGCAGGGGGAGCTCTGTCCATTTGGGAACCGTCATATTGTCTATCTTTTGATGTGACCTAATGCTGCGTTTGAGTTTCCTCAGAAGTCAGATGTCGGAGCTGAAAATGACGTCACACCCGAGTTCCCAGCGTTTCAGTTACCAAGTCGGAAAAAAGCAAAATCGGAGGCGGAAACAAGATGGCTACATCTACGAAGGTTAATTTAGCGCTTGTCTTGTCCGAATATAAGGGTAGTGCTAAAATAACTTTCGTAGCTCCGACATCTGACTTCCGCAGTAACTGGAACGCAGCATATGTCATCACAGGTTTGTCCGACAGGTGAGTCTGTCAATCATGCTCAGGTGATGAAGGGGTTAACTGGATCTGTCGCTCTTTCTGTCTCAGTGGACTACGCTCGTCCCGTCATCATCCTCGGCCCGACCAAAGACCGGGTAAACGACGACCTGCTGTCGGAGTTCCCCGATAAGTTCGGCTCCTGCGTCCCTCGTAAGTTTCACATCCTCAGACAGGAAGTGGGATGAAAGCAGACAGGAAGTGACCCTCTTGTCTCTCTGTTCAGACACGACTCGCCCTCGCAGGGACTACGAAACTGATGGGCGGGACTATCATTTTGTGGCGTCCCGGGAACAGATGGAGCGGGACATCCAGTCCCATCGCTTCATCGAGGCGGGGCAGTACAACAACCACCTGTACGGGACGTCGGTGCAGAGCGTGAGACAGGTGGCCGAGCAGGTGAGACAGGTGTACAGACGCTCAGCTGGTCTGAACTGTGAGGGCGAACCGAGGGTTCAACGTGTGTGTGTGTGTGTGTGTGTGTGCGTCCAGGGGAAACACTGCATCCTTGACGTGTCGGCGAACGCAGTGAGGAGGCTGCAGGCGGCTCAGCTCCACCCCATCGCCATCTTCATCAGACCGCGCTCCCTCGAGAACATCCTGTAAGTCTGTGACATCACCAGTGAGGTCACCAGTGAGGTCATGGCGGTAAAGACTGACCTCGCCGTCCGCCCGTGTTTGTCGTTGACGATCTTCTCCTTTTCTTTCTTTTCTCACTCCTTCTACGGCGCTCTGAACTACTGCGAAACCTTCTGTGCGTGTGTGTGTGTGCATGTGTGTGTGTGTGTGTGTGTGCGTGTGTGTGTGTGTGTGTGTGCAGGGATCTGAACAAGCGTCTCTCGGAGGATCAGGCGAGGAAAGCTCTGGATCGAGCCATCAAACTGGAGCAGGACTTCCTGGAGTGTTTCACAGGTGAAATCAACTTCCTGAAATCGGAGGATGTCCCGCCCTTTACAAAGTTAACTTCCTGTGTGTGTGTGTGTGTGTGTGTGTGTGTGTGTGCAGCTATCGTGCAGGGGGACAGTTTCGAAGAAGTCTACCACCTGGTGAAGGTGGTCATCGAGGAACAAAGCGGTCCTTACATCTGGGTACCTGCGCGCGACAGACTCTGATTGGCCACTTCCAGCCCCAGGGGTGCTGTCTCCATGGAAACCGCTGCCAACATCACCCCGCCCCCCCCTCCCTCCCCGGCTCCTCCTCCTCTCAGCGGTGCGACCTGACGGAGGGCGGGCGCTCGTATTTTTACTGTTTTTGTTTCTTTCTGCGGGAGAACGACAAGCGAGCGCGCCGATTGGACAGATGCTGTTACCGTGGCAACCAGGAGGCGCGTGTGTTTTTTTTAAGGATGAGTCGGCTGACCCGCCCGTCTCTCCACCAGGTGATGGTGTGTGTTGGTGGAAGTATTCTAAGTCAATCAGAGGACAGTAGACTTCAGTTCATATTCAGTATTTATATTATCCTATTTATTTATTGATTTATCTATTTATCTATTTATTTATGTGACGTGCACATGGTGAGTGTGTGTGTGTGTGTGTGTGAGTGTGTGAGCGTTTGTGTGTAGTGTAAATAAAGACTTGTGTGACTGTAAATACAACGATGGGGCTCAAACACACAGTCTATTCAGGGCTTAAAGTATCAAACACTAGACAACGACAACAACCACCAAAATCCAGCTCCACGTGGACTACAATACCCACAATCCACCATCATATGGGCTATAACACTCACAGTGTACCATCATATAGACTACAACACCCACAATCCACCTTCATGCGGACTGCAACATCCATTACCATTTAAAGGACTACAATCCCCACATTCCTTCGTCATATGGACTACAACTCCTGCCGTCCTTCTCTGTGTGGACTACAACACCCATAGTATATCTTCTTAAGTACTACAGCAGCCTCAATCTCACCTTTTTGGACTACAACCCCCAGAATCCATTTGGACTACAACAACTCCAGTTTACCTTTGTAAGGACTACAACACCCACAAAGGTCGTTTATTAGGACGACTTACCAGCGCTCTCCTCATGGGACTACAACATCCACAGTCCTCCTTCTGGACTACAAAACGGTGGTACTGCTTTTACCACTGTCCTTATTTAAACAGACCTCTGAGTGAAGACTACAACCCCCATAATCCCCTTCTTAATGGTCGTCAATATGAACCCCCTTCTCTGTCTGGACTACAGCAGTTCCTCACAAGGACTACAAAACCCACACCCCCTCTCTGCATTGTAACATAAGACTCCCGACATTCCCCAAACCCCTCCATCTGGACTACATCTCAGCTCTGATTGGACTACAACCTCCATTATCCTTTATTTTGCTGTTGACAGTCAGGACAGTTTGACAATGGTGTCTCTATGGTTGCTTAGCAACAACAAGGAAACTGTGAAACCGATCACTTCTGTTGTAAAGTTATGGACTACATTACCCACATATCCATACAGTTGGACTACATTACCCACAAGTCTCCCTTACGGCTCGTTCAGGCACTCCCCTGCTGTGGGTGTTTCATACCCAGAATCCTGCTGGGCTCTGAACTACAGTACCCATGAATCCCTGCTCCTGAGTGGGACCAGAGATGAAGTCTTTAGAAAAGGGGGTGGAGCTACAGCTTTGGGGGAGGGGCTTGGTCACTTGTAGCCACGCCTCTTCATGTGTTTACCTCCATTTACCCACAATGCTTAGGAAGAGCCGACACTCACTCTACCAGTGACATCATCTGTGACCGCAACTGGTGTGTAACCATGGCAACTGGGACTGATGGTGGATCCAACATGGCGGCTGCTCTCCGACTGGTTTAAGACTGATTATCAGGGTCATGTGAATAATTATATTTATTATAATAAAATTATCATAACTATTGATGATGTAATATCATCGCACTCACACACACACACACACACACACACACACACACACACACACACAGGTTTACATGTCGTTGTTTTTTCTTTCTGAGCACTGACAGAAACACTTTGTAAAACTAATAAAACCATATCTGAATATATTATTATTATCCTGTGATACACACACACACACACACACACACACACACACACGCACACACACACACAGAGTTCAGAGGAGGCTGTTGGTGGTGACTGGCTTGTTGTATAATGAAATAATTAGTTATAAATGAAATTCAATTATTGAAATATTGAAATAAATTCCTTATAAAAGATGAAAAAGTTCAGTTTGTTTTTTTTCCTAAACTGAAAAAAAAAAAGACCCAAACTGAGAGTCTCACACACACATATACACACACACAGGTCTAACTTCAGGTCCAGGATTCGCAGCCTCAACAAAACCTCAACATGACGTCACCGACTCGTCTGTTTTTACTGCAGACCGACTCGCTCTATAAACGAGCCTCAGACAGGTGGGTGGGGACTCAGACAGGTGGGCGGGGACTCAGACAGGTGGGCGACCACTTGTTTATTAAAACTCTCTCCCTTAACTTTTTATAGTCTGACCACATCGACCACAGAGTCTGCTCTCTGATTGGTCGCCTCATGAGGTCATAGCTGTTTAAATACGAGCTCAGCGTTCACACTGTTACTACGGTTACCAAAGTGTTACTGCAGCCAGATCATCCAGACCAGCAGAGCCAGTGAGTACAGAAACTTTTTATACTTTAACAGAAAATTTTTATTGTTATACAGAAACTTTTTTTACTTTCACATAAACTTTTCATACTATTACGGAAAGTTTTTATACTGTAACAGAAACTTTTTATACTTTCACAGAAATTATTTATACTATTACAGAAATGTTTACTACTTTTAGAGAAACATTTAATACTTTTACAGAAACTTTCAGATATTTTACAGAAACTTTTTATAATTTTACAGAAACTTTTTATAATTTTACAGAAAGTTTTTATACTTTTACAGAATTTTTTAGTGAAACTTTTATACATTTAGAGAAACTTTTTTTCAGAAATCTATGAAAATTTTAGAGAAATTTTTTATACTTTCACAGAATTTTTTTAACTTTTACAGAAATTTTTGGATATTTTACAAAAACTTTAAAAACTTTTACAGAAACTTTTTATTCATTTAGAGAAACTTTTTATACTTTCACGGAAATTTTTGTATATCTTGAAGAAACTTTCAAAGGAACTTTTAAAACAGAAACTTTTTATACTTTTACAGAATTGTTCAACTTTCACAGAAATATTTGAATATTTTACAAAAAAACATTAAACTTTTAGAGAAACTCTTCAGTCTTTCAGAGAATCTCTTAATAATTTTAAAGAAATTCTTGAATATCTCACAGAAACTTTAGAAACTTTTACAGAAATCTTTTGCACTTTTACAGAAAATTTGAAACTTTTACAGAAACCTTTAACATTTTTAGCGATGCAATGTTTCTCCTATAAAAGTTAAACTACTGGTTACTGTTTTCTTGTCAATACTCCAAATATTACCACAGATCCTTTGAACAACAATAGAGTTTTTTAGCTGCAGGCCTGTGCAAAGTTTTAAAAGAACAGTGGAAAAACAACTTTTTAGTTGAATTATTCACAAGATCATAAAAAAAACGTAAATTGCAAATTAATTTGGGGTTATTTTTCAGTCAGTTCTGAAACCAAACTTCACATATTTGCTCCTTAAATGTGAAGATTAGCAGCTTCTCTTAGACTAAAGCATCTTACTGTAACTTTAGCATGAGATTAGATTCTTTAATCTGTGTTATTAGCCGTGTTGTTAGTATTAGTAATAACTGCAGTATTAGTGGAATCAGTAGTATTAGTAGTCATGTGGACTAAATCCTGCTCCCTCCTCCTCCTCCTCAGTGATGATGATGAAGGTCACCCTGATGGTCTTGTGTTTGCTGAGCCTCAGTCTGAGCGTGTCAGTAAGTGTGACGATTTCTCAGCGATCGACTCGTTTATCCGCTCAGAACCTGTTTGTGTTTAAAAAAGTTTAATCATGTTTTACTTTAAAAACTTTAATCATGTTTTACTTTATTTAAAAAACTTTAATCATGTTTTACTTTATTTAAAAAAAGTTTAATCATGTTTTACTTTATTTTAAAAACTTTAATCATGTTATACTTGATTTAATAAGTTTTATCATGTTTAACTTTAATTTTTTAAATAAAAGTTTAATCATGTTTTCTTGATTTAATAAGTTTTATCATGTTTTACTTTATTTTAAAAACTTTAATCATGTTATACTTGATTTAATAAGTTTTATCATGTTTAACTTGACTTTTTTTTTATAAAAGTTTAATCATGTTTTACAGTTCTTAAAAAAAACTTTTATCACATTTAACTACATTTTTAAAAGTTTTATCATGTTTTACATTATTTTAAAAAGTTTAATTATGTTTACTTTACTTTTTAAAAAAGTTTTATCATGTTTCGTTTTGCTTTCAGAAAGTTGTCTAATGGTTCACTTTACTTCCTGAAAGTTTAATCATGTTTTACTTTATTTTAAAAAATTTAATCATGTTTACTTTTGAAAAGTTGTTTCATGTTTAATTTTGCTTCCTGAAAGTTTAATCATGTTTGGCCTTTTTTAGATCGTTGTGTTTTTTTATATTTTTGCGTTGAATCAGCTGTTTCTGTTAAAAGCTGTTCTGAAGTTCGTGTCATGAGACAGGTCACATGATCGTTTCTTTGGTTGTTTCAGATCCACAGAAGAAGAGTGACGAGGTCAGACAGCGCCGAAGGAGAGGAGGAGGTGAGGGTCAATCAGAGAGCTCCTCTTCCTCCTCTTCCTCACTAACCCGAGCTTCAATAACCAAAAACTGTTTCTGTTTCACTTCAGAGCGACTCCGCCCAAACAAGTGATGAAGAGGAGAAGGAGCAGAAGGAGGAGGAGGAGGAGGGAGGAGATCATGGAGAAGGGGAGGAGGGGAGCAACAAAGGAGGAGAAGAAGAAGAAGAAAAAGAAGAAAAAGAGGATAAGGAAGTAAAGGACGTCCAGAAAAAGAAGGAGGACAGCGAGGAAAGAAGGGGAGAAGGAGGAGAAAGGAAAGAGGGTGGGGAGGATGAGAGTGAGGAAGAGGATGGAAGGAGAGATGAAGAGAGAGAGGGAGTGGGTGATGAAGGAGAAGAGGAGGAAGAAGAGGGGGAAGGAAAAAGAGAGAACGGGAGAGAGGGGGAGGGAGAAGGAGAGGAAGAGAAGGAGGAGGAAGAGGAGGAAGAAGGAGATGAGGATGATAGGGAGGAGGAGGAAGAGACAGAGGAAGAGGGGGAGGAAGGAGAGAAAGAAAGTGGTGAGGAGGGAGGAGGAGAAAAAGAGAGCAAGGAGGAGGGTGAAGATGAAGAAGAGGAAGGAGAAGGAGAGGAGGAGGGTGGAGGAGAAGAAACAGGAGGAGATGCAGGAGGTGAGGAAGAAGGAGGTGAGATAGAGGGTGAAGAGACAGGAGAGGAGACGGGAGAGGAGACAGGAGGAGGAGAACCAGGAGGAGAGACAGGAGGAGGAGAAACAGGAGGAGGTGAGACAGAAGGAGAACCAGGAGGAGGTGAAACAGGAGAAGAACCAGGAGGAGAGACAGGAGGAGAACCAGGAGGAGGTGAGACAGGGGGAAGTGAGACGGGAGGAGAACCAGGAGGAGAGACAGGAGTTGAACCAGGAGGAGAGACAGGAGGAGGAGAAACAGGAGGAGAGACAGGAGGAGGAGAAACAGGAGGAGAGACAGGAGGAGAACCAGGGGGAGGTGAGACAGGGGGAAGTGAGACGGGAGGAGAACCAGGAGGAGAGACAGGAGTTGAACCAGGAGGAGAGACAGGAGGAGGAGAACCGGGAGGAGAGACAGGAGGAGGAGAAACAGGAGGAGAGACAGGAGGAGGAGAACCAGGTGGAGAGACGGGAGGAGGTGAAACAGGAGGAGAGACAGGAGGAGAACCAGGAGGAGGTGAAACAGGAGGAGAACTGGGAGGAGAACCAGGAGGAGAACCAGGAGGAGGTGAGATGGGAGGAGAACTGGGAGGAGAACCAGGAGGAGAGACAGCGCCCCCTGCTGTTGATGGACTGGAAAAAGTCTCTTTGTAGGTGAGATCACAGAGGAGGAGGACTGGAGGTGATCAAAGGAGGAGGAGTTAACGAGTTATCGTGTTAAAGAGTTATCGAGTTAACGAGTTAATGAGTTAACGAGTTAACGAGGCTGACCTGATGACCGAGTGTTCGAGTCCGTTCACTTAAACCAACCCAAGTCCAGTTCTAATGTGGACCCGGTTCCCTGAGTCCGAGTTCCTGTCATGATACCTGATGCTGGTCTCAGGATCTCAGAGCAGGTCGAGTGAGGATCAGTCGGTCACAGCGCCCCCCAGTGGACACTTACAACCATAACAGAGTATCTGTCTGTCTTTCAGGTCACATGACACCACAGAGCCAATGAAACGAGGAGAGTCACCTCTGTGGACAACTTCCTGTTTGGGGTCCTTTCAGAATAAAAGTCTCCTTGGTTCTATGCTCCTCACTGTGTTTCTCTGCTTTATTAAACACACAATCAATCTGCCAAATTAAGAGTCTATAAAACTTCAAAATAAAAGCACAAACTTAACAGACTCCATCCTTCAAAATAAAATCAGTGTTTCGAACTTTAAAGACAGCATGTAAAACCTTTAATTCTCTGTGCCCTCCAACAGGAAGAGGTGAATACTTTCAAAATAAAACATAATCTTGTGTTTAGAAGTAGTGATGAAAAAAAAAGTCCTTTTAACAGATTTTAATTCAAACACAGTCGTAAAAAAACATCCAGCTATTGAGCGCTCGTGATTCTAGTTTAGAATCATTAACGTCTGAGCAGAACTCTGAAACGCTCTCTGTCGCCCCCTGGTGACAAACCCATGAATGAGACAGAAGATCGGTGTTTACTGAAGAGGAACACAACGGGAGGATTTTAACTGTGAGAGCTGGTCTGCAAGAGTCTCAGCCTGAATGAATGAGTGAGTGAGTGAGTGAGTGAGTGAGTGAGTGAGTGAGTGAGTGAGTGAAAAAATGAACAACTGAAAGAATGAGTAAGTGAGTAAATGGTTGAATTACAGAATGGATGAATGAATTAGTAAGTGAGTGAGTGAGTGAGTTAGAGAGTGAATAAATGAGTGAGGATAAATAAGTAAATGAGTGGATAAATGAGTGGATGAATAAGTAAGTAAGTGAGTGAGTGAATGAGCGAGTAAATGAATGAGTAAGTTAGAGAATGAATGAATGAGAGAGTGAGTGAGTGAGTGAGTGAGTGACTGACTGACTGACTGACTGACTGACTGACTGAATGGATGAATGAGTGGGTGAGTAAGTTAATGAATAACCGAATGAATAACTTATTGAGTGAATGAATAATTGAGTTAGTTAGTGAGTGAATCAATGAATTAATGAGTGAGTTAATGAATGATAGAATAAATGAGTGAGTGAAAGTTTGAATGAATGAGCGAGTGAGTGAGTAAATGAATGAGTGAGTGAGTGAGTGAGTGAATGAGTGAGTGAGTGAGTGAATGGATGAATGAGTGAGTGAGTGAGTTAATGAATGACCAAATTAATAACTTATTGAGTGAATGAATAATTGAGTTAGTGAGCGAATCAATTAATGAATGAGTGAGTGAATGAATGAGTCAGTGAATGAGTGAATGAATAAATGAGAGAATGAATAAGTGAGTGAGCAAGTGAATGTGTGAGTGAGTGAGTGAGTTAATGGATAAATGAGTGACCGAATTAATAACTTATTGAGTGAATGAATAATTGAGTTAGTGAGGGAATCAATTAATGAATAAGTGTTTTAATGAATGATAGCATAAATGAGTGAATGAAAGAGTGAATGAATGAGCGAGTGAGTTTGTGAGTGAGTGGGGGACTGAACCAATGAGTGAAAAGAGAAATAAATTGAATAATTGAATGAATGGATGAATGAGTGAGTGAATGGATAAGTGAGTAAATGAGTGAATAAATGAGACTCTTGCTTCAGTTTGAAACAGGAAACTCTGAAACTCTTGAACCATGAAGTGTGTGTGTGTGTGTGTGTGTGTGTGTGCGTGTGTGTGTGCGTGTGTGTGTGTGTGTGTGTGTGTGTGTGTTGTGTTTCAGCGTGTGTGTGTATATGTGTGTGTGTTGTGTATGTCCCCGCTCAGGCCGTGGGCGGCGCCCTGCAGCGTCCAGGTGAAGAAGGCGAGCTGTCGTCTGAAGTGTTTCTCGTCGAAGCGTTCGGGGTCAGAGGTCAGCAGGGCTAGGTGCTCAGTGAGCGCGCTCAGAGTGTGGTTACCTCGGCCATGGATCACGTGACGGAACGGCGTCTCCACGACTGACACGTACTGGGACAGGAAGTAGTATTCCACCTGGGGACAGAAACAGGAAGTTATTTTCATGCTGTTAGACGCTGAAGGAAGTTTAATTAATGTGAGTGAGTCAACAAACACACACTTCAACAGCCTTATTCCTGTTGTCCCTCCAAAATAAAAGTAAAAAAATAATGCAAAGAAAAACTCCTGCGTTTATTAAACGTGACTTTAGCTAACGAGTAAACTGTTGAAACTCCAACGTCTGTATGTTAGTAAATGATACCAGCTCTTGTGTCTGCGGAGTTCGTACCCTCATTATTCGGGTGTTGTAGGAGCGAGCGGTGATCAGGTCGTGCATGTCGCTGTAGTCGATGGCTCTCTGCAGCGTCTCGGCCGCTCGGCTGTAATCTCCTCTGGCACTGAACACCCACTGAGGAGACAAACCTCTGGACTGGGAACACAGAGACAAGTCCTGTCTTTACACCACCTCAGAACCACAAACACTGGTACCATGAACGCTGAACAAGATCTCCACGTTTGTCCCCAATTTCCACCGCATCCTGATCGTCTCCTAAAAGGTCGTATCCTCCGATCGTAGCTGATCGTAACCATTCAAGTTAACGTGTCAATTTACACCGACTTCTTTCCGTTCCTCTGCGGATCGCCGGACTCCTCAGCTGATCACAAGAGTTCTATTTTTTCTGGACGCCGGAGCATGGCGGATAAATTCAGCACAGATTAACCCGTGCTGGAAAGGAAGTCGGGCACAGACACAAAATAAAACATCCGGCTTCTTTTCAAAATAAAACACTCCGTGTTTCAGGAGGATCGTATTTCACACCATGCAAACGGGCGGAGACGAACAAGTGAAAGGTTTTTAGACGTCATTTCACCCCGATGACACCATGGATGAGGAGATGCTGATTCTAGAAGTCTAGAAGTAGATTTCCTCCTCTGGAAGGACACAATCTACTGCTTATATGTCTATGTGTCTGTCTTTAGAGAGACAACTCGTTATCGTGTGATTGATCGTGAATCTGCGGGTTCTTGTGAGACTTGTAAGTCTCGTGATTCCCGCTGTCCGTAATCTGCCACGGCCTCACAGACGGATCTGGTAGGAATTGGCGGATGGTGAAAATCACCACCATTCCGGATCGGAGCTGTTCTGGAAGCAGTGAAAATTGGGGTTTAGGAGCAACATCTGCTGCCATCCAGACTGGGACTTTTTCAGGGAAGACCTTCATATGATATGAAACCACATTCTGGTCTACAGAACCTGGTCTGCTGAGTTCACTGAGGTCTACAGAGGCACACGATGGGAAACATGAACCTGGATCTTCTTTCTACGAAGGTTTTAATAATTTTTCGTACATAAAAACGTTAAAAACTTGAAGACGTCTCGGAGTTCCTGTAAACGGTGCGGACTCAGGTGAGACTGAGTACCTGCAGCTCTGCAGAGTGTCTGTTGAGCTGAGCGCTGAACTGCAGCACCGTCTGTGCGTAGGAAGTGATGCGTAGTGGCAGGATGTGATCATGAGCCAATCGCAGAACCATCTCGCCCACCAGCTCCCCCAGGCTCCGCCCCGTCATCCCGAGACGACCCCCCAGCACTTCCTGTAGGCGAGAGGCGGTGTCCAACGGTGTGTTGACGAACGGGTATGCTCGCTCCTGAACAGACACACACACATCAACCTGTGGAAAGCACACCTGCACACATGACACCTGTGATGTCACATGACACCATGTGACACATCAATAAGAAACAGTGAGGGGCGAGGAAGTGAGAGAAAACATGACAACACACAAAACAGCTGATCATGAGGATGAACACATCTGATGGTACGTCTACCATGATCTGAGTGTGTGTGTGTGTGTGTGTGTGTGTGTGTGTGTGTGTGTGTGTGTGTCACCTCAGTAAACCTGAGCTCCATGGCTGGGACTCCTGCAAACGCCGTGAAGCTGTACGCTCCGCTGTTCAGGTAGAGCGGCTTCATACTGAGGAGACGAGCAGAACAGTGATGGACGATCAGTTATTTTGACTGAATCTTTAGAATCATTAAACGATTCCCTCAAAAGATTCGTTCACTGAATCAGTCAGTTCTTTGGAGCCCCGTCCTGTCGCTGCAGTACACCAGTGAGTGACACGGCGGCGAGTTCGTTCATTAGCCCCTCCCCTCCTGCTGAAGTCACAGCGTCGTTCACTGGGTGACTCATGTCGTTCATTCGCCAAGTCCTGAAGGAAGAATCACTCCCCTACCCTGAAAAAATCACCTCTCTGTGTGTCGCCGTCTGTCGGCGGATACAACACAGCAGCGAGCAGCACGCCGCCAAACGAGCGCGAGTCGATACTACACCCCTCCCTCCTCTGCCTGACTCAAGTCGTTCAGAAGTCGTTCGTTTCGTTCACAGTCTGACTGATAAATGTTGTTCATTCGCTGTGAGCAAATCACGAGACTCTGCCCACCCGCTCGCTTGCTGGCTGTCAGTCGCCAAAGACTGAAAGGCGGCAGTTCCACTCCCGACCAGAAAAGGAAAAAATCAGGTCTCTGAGTGATTCAGTTCACGTCGTTCACTCAGCAGTTCAGTTCTTTTGAATGACACAACGCTAACCCAGTGAAGTACCCAGTTTTGAAGGACTCTGCTGTTGTTAGCTAGAAGACCATACGTCCTCTTTTACTCGGACATGTCTTCTTTTTGGGGGGCTGTCCGGCTTTTGTACAAGAGTTTCAATTTTGTGTCACATGGACTTACTGAGTTAGAAGCTCATCAAAGACACTCGATCTGAACTGAGAAACTCTCAAAATTAACTTCATGCGACTCCGTGACTCCGCCCCTGCGTAGTCGTGTCCTCTTTTAGGGAAGTCAGAATATGGTCACCCTATTGTTACTTCTGCAGACGTGTCACACTGACCTGAACGGAAAAGGCCTGTTCCCGTCGATGATTGCCTGTTGTGTCTCTACCATGACCACGGTGTTAGGTAGTGCTGCCCGTTCATTTTAGCTACAAGTGACCACCGGGCTAACCAGCTAGTGGGCTAATCAGCTAGCATAGCTAACATCACAAAATATGACACCATCATCAGTTAAAGTACAATCGTATTAGCATGCAAAGGATCATGGTGTGTGCGCAGGTGTGTGTATGAGTGTGTTTGTGTGTGCGTATGTGTGTGTGTGTGTGTGTGTGTGTGTGTGTGTGTGTGTGTGTGTGTGTGTGTATGAGTGTGAGTGTGTGTATTAGCCTCACATTCTCCAGCTGCCGCCCTCTCTCTCAGCCTGGCTGTAGATGGTCTGTCCTGCATGTTTGGGATGCTCCACCTGTCAATCAAACACAGGGCCACAAGCAATAATGAAATCTAGCATGACAGGAAGTGACATCACTGATAATCAAACGCGCTGTTCACCTGTCTGATAGCAGCATCCAGAAGGTCGACCAGCAGAGGACTGCTGCAGGCAGACAGGACGTCATCACCTGCAGGCGGACAGACAGGTAAATCAAAGGACAGGTGTTTATTTCATCTCATCCCTGATTGGCTTAGACTTAGATATAGTCCTCTGTGATTGGCTGAGAGCTGTGTTACCCATGATGGCCTGGTCCAGACTGAAGTAGGCCACAGCCTTCAGGTGGAGCATGGACAGGTAACCCTGGCAAACAAAGGTCAAAAGTTACTCTGCCACCACAGACACCTCTTCGGGTTCTTCTTCTGTGGTGTTTGATAGATGTTTTCTGCTCTCTGATTGGACAAACCTCAAGCCACTCTGTTGCTCCCACGTTTCCAAAATCTCCAGCATCCCAGCTGACGAACAACAAACTGCGTCTGGGACTAAAACCTGCGGGTACAAACACAGAAGCCTGTGTGGTGAAGGTCAGAGATAGAGGGCGCTTACCCAGGATTTCAACCACATCCAGAACGGCAACGATTTTCTCCGTACGCCAATTCCTACCGGCTCCGTTTGTGAGTCGAATTTCGTGGCGGATTACGGACAGCAGGAATCGCGAGAACTCACAAGAACCCGCAGATTCACGTTCAATCGCGCGATAATGAGTTGTCTCTCTAAAGACAGCCACATAGACATATAAGCAGTAGATTGTGTCCTTCCAGAGGAGGAATCCTACTTCTAGACTTCTAGAATCAGCATCTCCTCATCCATGGTGTTTTCTGTTTCCTCGGCTGTGCGTCGCCCTGCTCAGTCCCTCATATCGGCATTCTGCGGCGTCCAGAAAAAATAGAACTCTTGTGATCAGCTGAGGAGTCCAGCGATCCGCAGAGGAACGGAAAGAAGTCGGTGTAAATTGACACGTTAACTTGAATGGTTACGATCAGCTACGATCGGAGGATATGACCTTTTAGGAGACGTTCAGGATGAAGGTGGAAATTGGGGGTTAGCCTTAACCTAACACCTGTGTCTTTTCTATGAGACGGGACACACAGAGAAAGGAAGACAGCAGGAGACACAAGGACATCTGCTTTTAAATACATGAGGCCTATTCCTGGAGCTGTTAGCATATCACTGCCTACATTCCTCGTCCTCGATCCTTTGAGCATCAGGAAGGTCACAGGCGTACCTGCTCTATGGCCTAGCATTCGCGTTTGCAGCATCACCGCTGTTGTCTCACCCGTGTCCAGGTGATCTTACCATTCGTCACCATGGCAGAGAAGGTCCGAGCCAGCTCCAGGAGTATTGCTGTCCCGACTCCAGACTTGACTGCTCCTGGACCCAGTGAGTCCCTCTGAGCTCCCAGGATGATGTACTGGTCTGACAGAAGGATGACAGTTATTATTGACCCCTGATGGATCATGTGACCATGTCTCTGTGGTCAGGTGATACCTGGTTCCACGCGGCCTTCCAGAGAGGAGAAGATGTTGTTGAGCAGGACTGGCGTCATGACGTTGTGAACCGACATCTTGACTCTGCGTCCAGAGCTGAGGCCTGGACCGACCACGCAGCGCACGTACGGCAGCCGTACCCGCCATGATGGAGGACAGGATGGCCCAGACAGCTGACTGAAACACAGAGACATATATTGAGTTCACAAAACACCTGGACAGGTAACTAGGGGGCGGGGCTTACCTAAGCAGCTTGGCAGCCACAGAGGCACTGATTGGCAGAGCTGGGATGAGTGGCAGGCCAGAAGACTGGATGGGTGGGAACTGGGTATGATTAAAGGAGGGAAAACCCGGGGTAAAGGGGTCTCCTGACCCCAGATGGACCTGTGATTGGACAAAGCAAAGAGAGATGCTGATTGGTCAGAGGGAGCAGAAAATCTGTGTGTTTGTGTGCAGGTATGTGTTTGTTACATGTTCAGACACAGCGGTGTGTGTGCTCAGTCCAAGGCGTCGGGGGTCCTGGGGCAGATCAGCAGGGTCAGGGTATATCAAAGCTCCGCCCGCCCTGTAACTCTCAGCCAACCAGACCTTCTCAGCAAAACTGACCCCGCCCCCCACACGCATCACCACCACACAGCCGACCATAGACACGCCCGTACTCTCCAGCCATTTAAAATCCTGAGGACGGCCATAGTTTGCATAGACCACGCCCCCCTGCAGAGAGAGAGAGGCAGGTAAAGATCGCTGTGTTACCATGGTAATAAACATCCAGCCCCTTTGCCTCACCATGATACTTCCTGTGGCGCTGTAGGGACAGAAGTCAAAGGGGTTCAGAAGAATCTGTTCAAGGATCAGTCCTTCAGAGTTCACCAGCCACAGGGAGCTCTTCTGAGACCTGCAAGACAGCAGAGAGACTAACCCGGGATTTCCACCACATCCGGAACGGCAGCGGTTTTCGCCATACGCCAATTCCTACCAGATCTGTTGGTGAGACCAATTTCATGGCGGAATTTATCCGCCATGCTCCAGCGTCAAGAAATAATAGAACTCCCACGATCAGCTTTGGAGTCCGGCGATCCGCAGAGGAACGGAGAGAAGTCGGTGTAAATTGACACGTTAACTTGAATGGTTACGATCAGCTACGATCGGAGGATACGACCTTTTAGGAGACGGTCAGGATGAAGGTGGAAATTGGGGGTAACAGGTGACAGGTGTGTGCTCTGTCACCAAGCTCTGAAAGACCTGCTGACACTGACCTACCTGTCAGGGAACTGCAGTGTGGCGTACAGAGACTCGGTCCAGGTGTGATCCATCTGTAGATTTCTGAAGCGTCCCAGGATCTCTGAGGCCAAAGACGTCCCCTCTGAAGAGCCCGGAGGATGATTCGCTCTGCTGACTCGACTTGGAGGACAAACGGAGACACTCGTTAAGAGGAGATGAATAAGAAAACCTTTGACATGTTGTCACTGCACTTTTGTTTTTTTAATTATATTTTTAATGTTTTTTTTTTAACCATCAAAATTACCTAAAACCAGCGAATCTTTAGTAATCGGTACCTGACTGTGTTGAAAATATCTTCATCTTGCAGCAACCTCTTCATCATCACCCTCAGGTCCCCCAGGTAAAACCCCGCCCCTCCCTCTGGCGGTGGTTTAGCTCCACCTCCTGGCTGTCCATCTTCATTCTTTTGCCCTCCTTCTTTGGAACAGTGGTAACATCCACTAAAAACTGCATAGGCCAATAAGAATGCTGTAAAAAAAATAGACCACGCCCACACATCAGCCAACCAATCAGGCTTGTCAGTGTTACATGTGTGAGTGTGTGTGTTTGTGTGTGTGTGTGTACCTGCTGTGAAGGTGATAACTCCACACACACACAGAAATGCACAGGCTTTACGTTTGTCTTGATGGTGCCTCAGCATCAACGCTGTGATGTCACTGCCAGGCTCCGCCTCCACCTCCTCATCTGCCTCTGCTGTCACAAACCTCAGCTCCAACCTTGAAGCTCCTCCCCCCTCCTCCTCCTCCATCTGATCGAATACGGCCAGTGAACGCTGGAGTGGCACGGAAGTAGACTGCAGAGAGAGGACAGGTGTTACTATGGTTACAGGTAAGGAGAGGAAGGACTTGTCGTGTGGGGGCGTATCTCACCTGTTGTAAATGACCTCTAATGGTATCCATGTTGACCTGCAGAGGAGATAGCCCATCAACTGTAGAGTCTGGAGACCACCACAGCCCCCCTAAAATAACATCACAACCTTTTAGAGCTCCCCCTGCTGGCTGGCTCATTGACTCTGACTTGTTAAACTCGCACTCGTTGACTCTGACCTGTTAGGCTCACACTCGTTGACTCTGACCTGTTACGCTCACACCTGTTACGCTCACACTCGTTGACTCTGACCTGTAACGCTCTGACCTGTTACGCTCACACTCGTTGACTCTGACCTGTTACACTAACACTCGTTGATTCTGACCTGTCACGCTCACACTCGTTGACTCTGACCTGTTACACTCTGACCTGTTACACTCACACTCGTTGACTCTGACCTGTTACGCTCACACTCGTTGACTCTGACCTGTAACGCTCTGACCTGTTACGCTCACACTCGTTGATTCTGACCTGTTACACTCACACGTTGACTCTGACCTGTTACGCTCACACTCGTTGACTCTGACCTGTTACGCTCACACTCGTTGACTCTGACCTGTTACGCTCACACTCGTTGACTCTGACCTGTTACACTCACACGTTAACTCTGACCTGTTACGCTCACACCCGTTGACTCTGACCTGTTACACTCTGACCTGTTACACTCACACTCGTTGACTCGTTAACTCTGACCTGTTACACTCACACTCGTTGACTCTGACCTGTTACGCTCTGACCTGTTACACTCACACTCGTTGACTCTGACCTGTTACGCTCACACTCGTTGACTCTGACCTGTTACACTCACACTCGTTGACTCGTTGACTCTGACCTGTTACACTCACACTCGTTGACTCTGACCTGTTACGCTCTGACCTGTTACACTCACATTCATTGACTCTGACCCGTTACACTCACACTCGTTGACTCTGACCTGTTACACTCACATTCGTTGACTCGTTAACTCTGACCTGTTACACTCTGACCTGTTACACTCACACTCGTTGACTCTGACCTGTTACACTCACATTCGTTGCCTCGTTGACTCTGACCTGTTACACTCACACTCGTTGACTCTGACCTGTTATGCTCACACTCGTTGACTCTGACCTGTTACACTCTGACCTGTTACACTCACACTCGTTGACTCTGACCTGTTACACTCACACTCGTTGACTCTGACCTGTTACACTCACACGTTAACTCTGACCTGTTACACTCTGACCTGTTACACTCACACTCGTTGACTCTGACCTGTTACACTCACACTCATTGACTCTGACCTGTTACACTCACACTCATTGACTCTGACCTGTTACGCTCACACTCGTTGACTCTGACCTGTAACGCTCTGACCTGTTACGCTCACACTCGTTGACTCTGACCTGTTACACTAACACTCGTTGATTCTGACCTGTCACGCTCACACTCGTTGACTCTGACCTGTTACACTCTGACCTGTTACACTCACACTCGTTGACTCTGACCTGTTACGCTCACACTCGTTGACTCTGACCTGTAACGCTCTGACCTGTTACGCTCACACTCGTTGATTCTGACCTGTTACACTCACACGTTGACTCTGACCTGTTACGCTCACACTCGTTGACTCTGACCTGTTACGCTCACACTCGTTGACTCTGACCTGTTACGCTCACACTCGTTGACTCTGACCTGTTACACTCACACGTTAACTCTGACCTGTTACGCTCACACCCGTTGACTCTGACCTGTTACACTCTGACCTGTTACACTCACACTCGTTGACTCGTTAACTCTGACCTGTTACACTCACACTCGTTGACTCTGACCTGTTACGCTCTGACCTGTTACACTCACACTCGTTGACTCTGACCTGTTACGCTCACACTCGTTGACTCTGACCTGTTACACTCACACTCGTTGACTCGTTGACTCTGACCTGTTACACTCACACTCGTTGACTCTGACCTGTTACGCTCTGACCTGTTACACTCACATTCATTGACTCTGACCTGTTACACTCACACTCGTTGACTCTGACCTGTTACACTCACATTCGTTGACTCGTTAACTCTGACCTGTTACACTCTGACCTGTTACACTCACACTCGTTGACTCTGACCTGTTACACTCACATTCGTTGCCTCGTTGACTCTGACCTGTTACACTCACACTCGTTGACTCTGACCTGTTATGCTCACACTCGTTGACTCTGACCTGTTACACTCTGACCTGTTACACTCACACTCGTTGACTCTGACCTGTTACACTCACACTCGTTGACTCTGACCTGTTACACTCACACGTTAACTCTGACCTGTTATGCTCACACCCGTTGACTCTGACCTGTTACACTCACACTCGTTGACTCTGACCTGTTACACTCTGACCTGTTACACTCACACTCATTGACTCTGACCTGTTACACTCACACTCATTGACTCTGACCTGTTACACTCACACTCGTTGACTCTGACCTGTTACACTCTGACCTGTTACACTCACACTCGTTGACTCTGACCTGTTACACTCTGACCTGTTACACTCACACTCGTTGACTCTGACCTGTTACACTCACACTCGTTGACTCTGACCTGTTACGCTCACACTCGTTGACTCTGACCTGTTACACTCTGACCTGTTACACTCACACTCGTTGACTCTGACCTGTTACACTCACACTCGTTGACTCTGACCTGTTACGCTCACACTCGTTGACTCTGACCTGTTACACTCTGACCTGTTACACTCACACTCGTTGACTCTGACCTGTTACACTCACACTCGTTGACTCTGACCTGTTACACTCACACTCGTTGACTCTGACCTGTTACACTCTGACCTGTTACACTCACACTCATTGACTCTGACCTGTTACGCTCACACTCGTTGACTCTGACCTGTTACACTCTGACCTGTTACGCTCACACTCGTTGACTCTGACCTGTTACACTCTGACCTGTTACACTCACACTCGTTGACTCTGACCTGTTACACTAACACTCGTTGATTCTGACCTGTCACGCTCACACTCGTTGACTCTGACCTGTTACACTCTGACCTGTTACACTCACACTCGTTGACTCTGACCTGTTACGCTCACACTCGTTGACTCTGACCTGTAACGCTCTGACCTGTTACGCTCACACTCGTTGATTCTGACCTGTTACACTCACACGTTGACTCTGACCTGTTACGCTCACACTCGTTGACTCTGACCTGTTACGCTCACACTCGTTGACTCTGACCTGTTACGCTCACACTCGTTGACTCTGACCTGTTACACTCACACGTTAACTCTGACCTGTTACGCTCACACCCGTTGACTCTGACCTGTTACACTCTGACCTGTTACACTCACACTCGTTGACTCGTTAACTCTGACCTGTTACACTCACACTCGTTGACTCTGACCTGTTACGCTCTGACCTGTTACACTCACACTCGTTGACTCTGACCTGTTACGCTCACACTCGTTGACTCTGACCTGTTACACTCACACTCGTTGACTCGTTGACTCTGACCTGTTACACTCACACTCGTTGACTCTGACCTGTTACGCTCTGACCTGTTACACTCACATTCATTGACTCTGACCCGTTACACTCACACTCGTTGACTCTGACCTGTTACACTCACATTCGTTGACTCGTTAACTCTGACCTGTTACACTCTGACCTGTTACACTCACACTCGTTGACTCTGACCTGTTACACTCACATTCGTTGCCTCGTTGACTCTGACCTGTTACACTCACACTCGTTGACTCTGACCTGTTATGCTCACACTCGTTGACTCTGACCTGTTACACTCTGACCTGTTACACTCACACTCGTTGACTCTGACCTGTTACACTCACACTCGTTGACTCTGACCTGTTACACTCACACGTTAACTCTGACCTGTTACACTCTGACCTGTTACACTCACACTCGTTGACTCTGACCTGTTACACTCACACTCATTGACTCTGACCTGTTACACTCACACTCATTGACTCTGACCTGTTACGCTCACACTCGTTGACTCTGACCTGTAACGCTCTGACCTGTTACGCTCACACTCGTTGACTCTGACCTGTTACACTAACACTCGTTGATTCTGACCTGTCACGCTCACACTCGTTGACTCTGACCTGTTACACTCTGACCTGTTACACTCACACTCGTTGACTCTGACCTGTTACGCTCACACTCGTTGACTCTGACCTGTAACGCTCTGACCTGTTACGCTCACACTCGTTGATTCTGACCTGTTACACTCACACGTTGACTCTGACCTGTTACGCTCACACTCGTTGACTCTGACCTGTTACGCTCACACTCGTTGACTCTGACCTGTTACGCTCACACTCGTTGACTCTGACCTGTTACACTCACACGTTAACTCTGACCTGTTACGCTCACACCCGTTGACTCTGACCTGTTACACTCTGACCTGTTACACTCACACTCGTTGACTCGTTAACTCTGACCTGTTACACTCACACTCGTTGACTCTGACCTGTTACGCTCTGACCTGTTACACTCACACTCGTTGACTCTGACCTGTTACGCTCACACTCGTTGACTCTGACCTGTTACACTCACACTCGTTGACTCGTTGACTCTGACCTGTTACACTCACACTCGTTGACTCTGACCTGTTACGCTCTGACCTGTTACACTCACATTCATTGACTCTGACCTGTTACACTCACACTCGTTGACTCTGACCTGTTACACTCACATTCGTTGACTCGTTAACTCTGACCTGTTACACTCTGACCTGTTACACTCACACTCGTTGACTCTGACCTGTTACACTCACATTCGTTGCCTCGTTGACTCTGACCTGTTACACTCACACTCGTTGACTCTGACCTGTTATGCTCACACTCGTTGACTCTGACCTGTTACACTCTGACCTGTTACACTCACACTCGTTGACTCTGACCTGTTACACTCACACTCGTTGACTCTGACCTGTTACACTCACACGTTAACTCTGACCTGTTATGCTCACACCCGTTGACTCTGACCTGTTACACTCACACTCGTTGACTCTGACCTGTTACACTCTGACCTGTTACACTCACACTCATTGACTCTGACCTGTTACACTCACACTCATTGACTCTGACCTGTTACACTCACACTCGTTGACTCTGACCTGTTACACTCTGACCTGTTACACTCACACTCGTTGACTCTGACCTGTTACACTCTGACCTGTTACGCTCACACTCGTTGACTCTGACCTGTTACACTCACACTCTTTGACTCTGACCTGTTACGCTCACACTCGTTGACTCTGACCTGTTACACTCTGACCTGTTACACTCACACTCGTTGACTCTGACCTGTTACACTCACACTCGTTGACTCTGACCTGTTACACTCACACTCGTTGACTCTGACCTGTTACACTCTGACCTGTTACACTCACACTCGTTGACTCTGACCTGTTACACTCACACTCGTTGACTCTGACCTGTTACACTCACACTCGTTGACTCTGACCTGTTACACTCTGACCTGTTACACTCACACTCATTGACTCTGACCTGTTACGCTCACACTCGTTGACTCTGACCTGTTACACTCTGACCTGTTACGCTCACACTCGTTGACTCTGACCTGTTACACTCTGACCTGTTACACTCACACTCGTTGACTCTGACCTGTTACACTCTGACCTGTTACGCTCACACTCGTTGACTCTGACCTGTTACGCTCATACTCGTTGACTCTCGGTCTCAGTCTGAATTTCTCTCCTTTTTTCACTCCAACAGTCATAATTTCTGACACAATCACAGTGGTCTGAGCCTGCTGTGATTGGTTCGTCACAGGGGTCAGAGGTCAGCGTGTGTTTGATTTGCTTTGCTTAACAGCGAGTAAACACACACAGACACACACACAGACTCTCTCTCTCTCTCTTACAGTAGACTGTTTGTTGTCAGAACAGCTGATTTTAACACGGCGCACAAACACTGAAGGTTTTTCTCAAACATGAAATCCGAGGACAGTCTGAAACCACGGACAGATCAGCTGATCTCACCTGTTTAATCCTGCCGTACGTCCATCCGTCTACTCCTGCTCACGCCGTCTGACTTTATCATCAGGAGGCACATGTGATCCTCAACAGCCAATCCTGTGTTTGCTGAAAGACCAGCCCCCTCTGCTTGGAGATACCTCACCTCATTACGACCGTGCTTTGAGTCTCTCCTCAGGACAGAGTTGACCTCTTCATCTCTTTGTTATATCTGATGTAAAATATTGATGAACCTCAACAATTATGGTGATCAGTTTCCTCTTTACATGGGTCAGTTTTAACTCTCTGAAAGTCCTTTTAAAAAAAAAACAAAAAACCATAAAACCTTTCATCAATATCTCAGCTCTAATTTTATTGATTTATAATCATTTCTGAACAGTGAGGTGAATCTCCACATCATGGGGACACTTTTTTTTTTTTTTTTGCACTTTATTTATAGAATTTTTCAACAGCAAGACAACAAACGTTTAACAGCAGCTGGTGTCGGCCTGTTAGAGACAGAACCAGCCCAGACCGGATCAAACCGGTTTGAGCTGGTTCTGTTAGCAGGTCATTGGCTCAGGATTTAACCCTCGGTTCCTCCTCTGTCCGTTTATTCTGAGCTGACAGTCACAGTTTTATTTTTCTTCATATATAAAAAAAAAAAACTCGGTGTCTCCTGTAGTTCTCCGTCACTTTAGCTCCGCCCACCCTCCTTTGTCCACAAATCGGCCAATAGACTTCCATTAAAAACAGGTTTTTTGAGTGTGTTTACGGCTCATATTTTAGTTAGAGGAGGATGAACACTCATAAATGATTCCTGTCTTACAGATATCTGCTGATTTTATATGTTTATATATAACATTAATTTATTATGAACACATGAATTTGATCATATTTGATTTGGTCGAGGACGAGGTTCGAGAAAAGGAGGTGAAAATGTCGAGTTTTTCTGCTCCAATAAACTTTATCAATAAATATGACATGGTGAACAAAAACTGGAATAAAAAGGGAAAAACATCGAACTTTTTATTCATTATTTTTCTAATGATCAGGGCTGAAGTTGTTGAAGAGATCTGAGTCAAAAAAAGGAAGAAAAAATGTTTAAAAATGATGATTTTATGAACATCTGTATGTCTGTTTTGGGGTCAAAGTCGGCTGTATGGAGCTAAAATACGAAAAATTGACACAACAAAAAAAATTTAAATGCGTAAAAATTGGTTTAACTTCTCATCACCCACATGGTCCAGACTCTATTTATTAAAAAAAAAATCATCTAAGTCATTTTATTTAGGAAATATGGAGATTTTGTGTTTTTTACCAATAAAAATAGAAGTGACATGGTGAACAAAACTGGAATAAAAAGAGAAATACATCAAATTTTTTATCTATTATTTTTTTAATGATTAGGGCTGAAGTTGTTTAAGAGATTTGAGTTGAAAAAAGGAAGAAAAAAGGTTAAAAATGATGATTTTATGAACATCTGTATGTCTGTTTTGGGGTCAAAGTCGGCTGATGGAGCTAAAATGAACAGGAACTAAAGGGTTAAATTTTCCTGTTTTAGTGTTTTTGCTGATTTTCTCTGTTTGGATCTAAAGTGGACAGAACTGTCCTGAAAATAAGAGTTACTGTACGATGGTCGAGATCCAGATCTTCTGATCAGGACTCAGTTTAGAGAACAATAACCAGATGACCAACGATGCCATGAGGCGCCATGATGGCGTGGCGTCATTGGTCAGAACTCCCAAGCAAACAGTGACACCACAAACAGAAACCATGACCCCTCTAAAGCTGAAAATCAAGACCTGGACCAGGTCTAGATTCTGGAACAGAATAGTTCAGTGAATTACAGAACTAGAACTCTGAAAGTACTAGATCCTCATGACTCTGGTCCTGTGAGGACATGTCGGTGCGGAGACCTTCGACCTTTACGTAGAAAACTCTTTCTGCCTCTTTTTCCATCCAGGACCAGGACCAGGACCAGGATCAGTCAGTCTGGGGAACCAAAGTCCTTCCTACAAATGGAGAAAATGAAGAAGAAGATCATAGAGAGACACGGACCCCACAGCTGTTAAACTGGTCTAAACCAGTTCAGTAAGACTATGGTGTGCTGGTCTAAGACTATGGTGTACTGGTCTTAGACTATGGTGTACTGGTCTAAGACTATGGTGTACTGGTCTGTACTGGTCTTAGACTATGGTGTACTGGTCTTAGACTATGGTGTACTGGTCTGTACTGGTCTTAGACTATGGTGTACTGGTCTAAGACTATGGTGTACTGGTCTGAACTGGTCTCAGACTATGGTGTACTGGTCTGAACTGGTCTCAGACTATGGTGTACTGGTCTGAACTGGTCTCAGACTATGGTGTACTGGTCTTAGAATATGGTGTACTGGTCTTAGACTATGGTGTACTGGTCTGTACTGGTCTTAGACTATGGTGTACTGGTCTGAACTGGTCTTAGACTATGGTGTACTGGTCTAACTGGTCTAAGACTATGGTGTAGTGGTCTTACTTCTGGACTTGCTCTTGAAGTAGATGAATCCAGCCAGAGATAAGATCAGACCCAGGATCAGTCCTGAGGCCCCGATGGCGATCTTGTTCTTCTCAGACTCAGGCATGGACGGGTCTGAGGACAGACAGGTGAGAGGAAGGTGAACAAGTGAAGAGATGAACAGATGAACAGATGAACAGGTGAACAGGTGAACACATGAACAGATGAACAAGTGAACAGGTGAACAGATGAACAGGTGAGCAGGTGAACAGATGAACAGGTGAACAGATGAACAGGTGAACAGGTGAACAGGTGAACACATGAACAGATGAACAAGTGAACAGGTGAACAGATGAACAGGTGAACAGGTGAAAGGGTGAACAGGTGAACAGGTGAACACATGAACAGATGAACAGGTAAACAGATGAACAGATGAACAGGTGAACAGGTGAAAGGGTGAACAGGTGAACAGGTGAACAGGTGAACAGGTGAACAGGTGAACGGGTGAACAGGTGAACAGGTGAACAGGTGAACAGATGAACAGATGAACAGGTGAACAGATGAACAAGTGAACAGATGAACAGGTGAACAGATGAACAGATGAACAGATGAACAGATGAACAGATGAACAGGTGAACAGATGAACAGATGAACAGGTCAACAGTTGAACAGGTGAACACATGAACAGATGAACAGATGAACAGGTGAACAGGTGAAGAGATGAACAGATGAACAGGTGAACAGGTGAACACATGAACAGATGAACAGATGAACAGATGAACAGGTGAACAGATGAACAGATGAACAGGTCAACAGTTGAACAGGTGAACACATGAACAGATGAACAGATGAACAGGTGAACAGGTGAACAGATGAACAGATGAACAGGTGAAAGGGTGAACAGGTGAACAGATGAACAGATGAACAGATGAACAGGTGAACAGATGAACAAGTGAACAGATGAACAGGTGAACAGATGAACAGATGAACAGATGAACAGGTGAACACATGAACAGATGAACAGGTGAACAGATGAACAGGTGAACAGATGAACAAGTGAACACATGAACAGGTGAACAGATGAACAGGTGAACAGATGAACAGATGAACAGGTGAACAGATGAACAGATGAACAGATGAACAGATGAACAGATGAACAGGTGAACAGATGAACAAGTGAACAGATGAACAGATGAACAGATGAACAGATGAACAGGTGAACACATGAACAGATGAACAGGTGAACAGATGAACAGGTGAACAGATGAACAAGTGAACACATGAACAGGTGAACAGATGAACAGGTGAACAGATGAACAGATGAACAGGTGAACAGATGAACAGATGAACAGATGAACAGGTGAACAGATGAACAGGTGAACAGATGAACAGGTGAACAGATGAGCAGGTGAACAGATGAACAGATGAACAGATGAACAGGTGTAGGATGGACAGGTCTTTACCCCATTCCACGACCAGCGGCTCCTTCAGGCTGATGTGCTCCACCACACAGCTGATCTTCTCTCCAGACCTGCTCCAACAAAAAAACCACATCAGAGGTTCTGTGATACTCAAGAGACCTGGTCTATGGGGTCAGACTCACATCTCCCAAACCTGGATGTGGACTCACTTGGGTGTGTACTCCAGGTGGGAGTGGATCTGGTAGTACCAGTCTCCGTCTGCCATCTCATCAGTGGAAGTGACCCCAGAGGTCACCTCCTTCCCGTCTCTTTTCCAGGTCACTTTGATATGTTTGGGGTAGAAGTCGTAGACGATGCAGACCAGCACGGCAGGATGTCCACCACCAGAGGGCGCCTCAGAGTGCAGCCTGGCGTGGGGCTCAGCTGCAGCATACACAGTCAGGATAAACAAGAACTACAGGAGCAGAACATGATCATGTAGCTGAGAAACCCCACAGATCTGAAACACTGACTTTACTGAGGGGTCAACACGGACACCTGTGAGGAACGAAGAAAAGACACCGAAGAGTTAGTCTGAGTCAGATATCAAGAAAAACTCATCCAATCAGAGAGGAGTCAGAGGCAGGACTAAAGGAGATGAGCGATTAGAGACGATCATTAAAGATGATGATAATTAAAGAAGATAATTAAAGAGGATAATAAAAGATGATGATGAAAGAGGATGATAATTAAAGAAGACGATAATTTAAAAGGTAGTGATAATTAAAAATGATAATATAAGTGGATAATTAGAAGATGATAATCAAAGATGATGATAATTAACGAAGATCATTAAAGGTGAGGATTAAAGAAGATGATCATTAAAAAGGTGATGATAATGATGATAATTTAAGAGGATGATAATCGGAGAAGATAATTAAAGAAGATAATTGATTGATAATAAAAGGAACAAATAATTAAAGATCATAATTGAAAAAAATAATTAAAGATTATAATCAAAGAAAATAATTAAAGAAAATGATAAAAGATTATCGTTAAAGAAGTTGAAGATAATGATGAAAGAGAATGATATATAAGGATGATAGTTAAAAAAGATACTTAACGAAGATGATAATTAGAGCAGATAATTAAAGAGGATGATAATAATAGAAGATGGTTTTAAAAGAAGAAGACATTTTAAAAAGCTGATGATTAAAAAAACTAATAATCAAAGAAACTGATAATAAAAGAAGATGATAATTAAAAGTGGTGATAGTTAAAAAAGATGATAAAAAATGAATTTAATTGAAGATGATGATAATTAAGGAAGATGATAATTAGAAGATTATAATTATAGAAGATAATAATTAAGGAAGCTGATAATTAAAGGAGCTAATAATAAAATATTATAATTATAGAAGATAATAATGAAAGAAGATAATAATTAAGGAGCTGATAATTAAAGACCATCCTTCAGCCCAGCTGTGACTGTCAGTTTTAAAATATGTTCGTGTAGAAATAGGAATATTATCAGTTTATCAATCAATCACTTAATCAATACAGTGATGAAGTGGTGCTGAGTGACGTCACTGAAACACAAACTCACGGTATCTGGTCAGCATCGCTCGGTACCAAATGTCAATGTTGTGTTGACAGATTGTGGACTTCTGAGCTCTCCTGGTGTTTATTTGTAAAGGATCCTTGTTCCAGCGCTCTGCCTGCTTCACCCCGTACTCAGTGTATCCAACAAACTCCCCCACACTGCTGCTGAACCTGGTGTACTCCAGCCCGTTGTAGTAATGAGAGTAGATGTACTCGATGTCGTCTGGATCAGTGGAGTTAAACACACAACGGTCCAACGCAACTTCCATTGATCCATCTGAGAAACACACAAGATCAGTCAGGTGTGTGTATAGATCTCTCAGGTGTGTGTGTAGATCTCTCAGGTGTGTGTGTAGATCTCTCAGGTGTGTGTGTAGATCTCTCAGGTGTGTGTGTAGATCTCTCAGGTGTGTGTGTAGATCTCTCAGGTGTGTGTGTAGATCTCTCAGGTGTGTGTATAGATCTCTCAGGTGTGTGTGTAGATCTCTCAGGTGTGTGTTGATCGTACCTGTGCTGTTGAAGCCGATGAAGATGAAGATGAAGATGAAGAGGAGGGAGACTCTGAGAAAAGTTGAAGCCATCTTGGTCTGCTGTCTTCACCGACTGAAACTCACTCTGACTGAGAGCAGCTCTAAAAACCAGAAGTCCTCATTAAATCAGCCAATCAGCAGCTGTTACCAGGCAGACGACTCAGACTACGGTCTGCTGCTGATACGCTGAGACACACAGATACACAAACATACACACTCACAGACACATTAATGAGATTTTATGAAGAAAGAAACATTCAGACAAGAACAAACCAAAGAGCTTCACAGAGTTAAAAACTAAAAACATATAAAGACGTTTAAATCATAAAAATAACAGAATTTAAGAGAGAAGAAGAGGAAGACCACCATCAGTGGACCCTCGTACCTGCGTTACAGAGGTCATGGGTGGAGCAGGTGGTTCAAGTTGTGGCTGAAGCTCCTGTAGCACTGCGCGGGTTCACCACCCTGTGCTGTACCGCGACTTTAGAGCCCACATAGAAATATTTCAGACTCCAGTTCAGGGTCTGAAGCTCAGAGGTTTTCAGAGGGACCAGGTCAGAGAGTCTGGATGTGGATGGTCTGGGGTCCATCCTGTATCTGGGGTCAGTGCTGAGGTCAGTCTGGACCTTTTCTGTGGTTCTAAAGCCGAGCAGTAAGAATCAGGAGGGGAGTCTGATCAGAGTCTAGAGAAAGAGGTCTGGTACGGTCTGAACCCCTCAAACCTCCAAACAGCAGAGTTCAGTCAGACTGATGAGAGTAAACACCAGGAGACAGAGACGTCACTCACTGAAGCTTTATTCAACACTTTCTGTTTCCATGGAGACGCTTTACACACACACACAACAGCTGCGTTTAATACAAGATAATAAACAACACAGGTGATGATGACATCATCAGCCCCGACCAATCAGCTGCACTCGTTTCCTTTAATGAGGAAGAAGGTTCCAACAGCAACACCGAGCAGGCCGACAGTCAGACCGAGTCCACAGAACACAGCAGGACCGACACCGGGCTGGACCGTCTTCACCTCTGCAGACACACAACACACACACACTCTGAGATATACACACTGAGATATACACACTGAGATACACACACTGAGATATACACACTGAGATATACACACTGAGATATACACACTGAGATATACACACTGAGATATACACACACACACACACTGAGATATACACACTGAGATATACACACTGAGATATACACACTGAGATATACACACACTGAGATATACACACTGAGATATACACACTGAGATATACACACTGAGATATACACACACTTTCTCTCTGTCTATGAAGGAGTTCTGCTCTCACCCCACATCCTGGTCTGCGGTTTCTCCAGGGTCAGGTGGTCCACAGAGCAGCTGTAGACGTCTCCTTCCTGGGTGGTGACCTCCAGTTTGGAGAACTGGCTGAAGGTTCCGTCGTCTGTGTTCAGGAGGGGGACGTTCTTGGTGACCCCTTCAGTCACGTTCTCTCCGTTCTTACTCCAGAAGAAGGTCACAGGAGGCGGGTAGAAGCCGGTCACATGACAGACGAGGGAGTTCTTCTCCCCGAGCTCCAGCTGGTCTTTGGGGTAGACGATGGGACTGGACGGAGGGTCTGTAACCACAGAAAGAGAGGGGGGGTGGGGGTGTTTTTGTTGTTGAACGTGGGACCTGGAAACCTCCTCACAGCTTTAGAAAGTCAGGTCCAGCTGAGGTCCACCTGAAGGTCTGTGATTGATGAACTTGTAACTGATCAATATCTGCCTTTAATCAATACTGACAGAGAATCCATGAATCCATGAGACCAAGATTCAGACACAACAGTCAGACACTTTAGAGAGGAAATGTTGCCACCTGAGGAGTCACGCCCCAGGAACTAGTGAAATAATTGTCGTCAGGTGAAGACACACAAGGTTTGAAATTACCTCAGGGCGAGAGAGGGTTTGTCCGAAATAGTTATAAAAGTCTTAATTTAACAAACGATCAAGAACTTCAAAAGTCCCAAACCACTAAAAAAAGGACAAACAAAGGAAACCCTAGGATAGGGGTGGAGCTTACCGTGGCGGCCCAAGAAAACCCCCCCAAAAAAACCACATGGGAGGAAGAACGAATGAAAACACCACGCACACACACGGGGGATCTGTGAGGACAACCCACCACCAGGGTTCTGGGTCACCAGCTTGGGCCTGCAGCACCTATCCAAAAGAAAAGGGAAAATTAAAACAGGCCACAGAGCTTCATGCAGTTCATGAGTTTAACGTTAGTTTAACACAAAACACACACAGCAACAATAAAGCAAGAAGAACAACCAACAGAAATCCAAATACAACTGGAAAATCACTCGGAGAGCGCAGACCTCCGCCCAGCAGCTCATGTCCCCCTTATACTGTGATTCACACCAAAACTTTGACTGTTCCGTGTCTTTTATTAACGTTTATCTGTGTTTAAACTGGTATGTTCACTGTTCAGAATGTTCCTAAAACAAGAAATACCCTGACCCGGATTCAAACCCAGGACCTTCTGGCTGTGAGGCGACAGTGCTAACCACTACACCACTGTACCGCCCATTGGTTATCTTTCAGCATTGAAAATTCCAACCACACCCTTATTTTTGTGTGTTCTGGATCACAGTATCCAGAATTTTGTCCGGATCAGGATCAACCTTTGACACCTCATAAAACTCATTGAGATCCTTTTGTGTCATTTTTTACTAAATACTCTGGACATTTTTATAGAGTTAAATGCAAAAATTCCAAAATTTGCCCTATCTCACAATGATAAAGAATCCTTCAAAGAAATCCTGGATCCAGAAGGCGATCCGGATCACCACCAAAATGTAATGGGATCCTCCTGGGGCTGAGACGCTCCTCTGGTGAAAATTTCAGGTCAATCCGTCTGTAACTTTCTCCGTAAAGTTGAAAAAAGACAAACGAACCAACGCTCCCTGAAAACATAACCTCCTTGGCAGAGATAATTACATGTCTAATATAAACCAACTCAACAAAATCAGATTTAACTAAACTCTATTAAAACTTAAGATACTCAACATTTAACCCTCACATACTGTTCAAATCCTGTATTCTCAGTGTGTTTCCGGTCCAAACTGACCCAGCCCAAGAACTGCCCATGTAGAGTGTATTTTCACCAAAGTTCTAACCCCAAACCTATTCCTAATGTTTCAATGACCTCTGCTACTTCAACACATTATTGATTAGTCCGTCCTGAATGTTTCAAAGAGCAGGGAAAGAGCAGTTTTTCAGTTTTAACACCACTCGTTTTTGGTGAAATATATATATCATAAAGAACATCTATTACACAGGATTATGTCATGTAATATTATGTAAGAAATAAAAGAATATCAAAGTCAGAATGATTTGAATATATTTCATTGAACAACAAACTTCATAGTGAACACTGTTCTCACTGCTCATCACTTGTCCCACACTGGTAGATCTAAAATCCATCTAAATAGATACGGATCAAATTTGACCTGTAACAGCCTCAGAGGGGAAAAATGTGAAGCACATCTACAAAAATACACATGAATATTTTTGAGTTAATTTCATGTAAATTGGGCCACTTCAGGAAAAGTCATCAAGTTTCAGGCCTAAAGAATGACATTGAGGGTATTTCAGTCAAAATTTTTAGCTTTATTGCGCAAGTTAGATTTGGTGGCATGATTCTGTTCCGGGTCCCTGCCCTTCCACGTGCTTGCGTGGAACCCCGAGGCAGGAAGAGCCCCTTCCTGCCCTTTCACGAGCCATCCTGAAAGGCGATAGCAGCGAGCGCACGCGAGGTTCTGTTCGGGCCCCCGTTCTCCACGTTGGCAGGGGTGAAAGGCCAGCGGCAGGAAGAGCCCCTTCCCGCCCTCCACGAGCCATCATGAAGGAGGAGGCGGCGGGGGTAGAGCAGCGATGAACAGAACCCCCCCAAAACAACCATGCCGTGCAGTCTAGGAGCTAGCAGGGGAGGTGAGAGCTGCTGAAAGAGAGACGGGTTAGAGAGACCCGTTGCCCAAGCATGGGTATTTATCTGCGGTGTGTTTATGTATATATTTCATTTAATTAGCATCTATGTGCCAAAGTTATGGGTACTCATAGTTTTTGGGCTTCTAGAATGTCCCGAGCCTCGGGGCGCAGATAGCGTTCGTACGCGGCTGACGACCATCGACCCATGGCTTTGAGGATGGACACGGGAGCGGTCATAGCTGCGGTTGTAGCTGCACCTATGTGAAAGGAATGAGCCGTGTAGCGATCTGGAGGATGTGTGGAGGGCGATCAGCTGAGGGCTGGCTTAAGATCAGCTGACTCTAACCTTTAGCTTGACTGTAACCTTTGTGTCCTGCCTGAACTACGGCCATGCTTAATTTCAGTCAGGACTACTTTAGTTAGAATCAGAATTAGAATTTTTAACATTGGCAGTATGGCTCTGTTCTGAGAGTTCCCTGCTCTGTCATGCGCTTGCACAGAATCCCAAGGCTATGAGAGGGAATGCCCTCCCCTCCCTTTCATGTGCGTATGCGAAAAGCCAAGGCAGAAAAAGCAGCAGTGATAAATAAAATTAAGGTACATTAGGATCCCCCAAAACGACCATACCAGACACCCTTTCAGCTTTCACGTGCTACATTAAAGCCGAGGCAGGGGAAGCAGCGGCAAGAAGTTAAGTCCCCCAGAACAACCATATCAGGCAACCCCAACCCCGGCTTTCATGAGCTACATGAAGGCACCTACGGGGAGGGAGGGCAGCCAGCAACCAGAAACTATCAAGCAACCTACCCACCTACAAAGCTTGCATAGTATTGGTGACCCTCACAACATGATCATGGATCAGGATTAATTTAATCCATACACACGTTTATAATTGGGAATATGCTTAATACAATAGATATGGGACAGAATTAAGGAGCAGCAGCATTTTTTTTGGTATCATTCAAAGGCTGATCAGGACCATCGACCCGTAGCCTTGAGCGTTGAGACGGGGACAATGGAAGGTGCAGTTGTAGCTGCGCCTATGCGTGGTGAATGCGTAGAGTTGTACTCAGGTAGGAGCCGGCAGGATTGGCAGAGCAGGCAGAGGTGAGCAGAAACCATGATCTGGATATAGGTTTCCCTTCTTCAGTGGCAAAGAGAGACTCTTGCTGGCCGGCCTCTCAGGCAGCGGGACATGGAGGATAAAGAACAAAGACAGAGTTAGTTTTGGAAATATAAAAAAAAAAAAAGGTGCGAGATTCAAAACTGTGGACTATTAAAGCACATACAATGGATATATTTAGGGTGTTGGGGCTACAGAGAAGGTGGTACAAAAGAGGTAAAGTGAGACCATGCAGAATCGTATAAACTTTAATGCTGATTTTGCTTAACCAGCTCTCAAGTAGCTGTCAACAGAGAGCACTAAGGTTTACAAGGCTGCACTCAGACTTACGCAGTCTGAATGAATGACTTCACTAACAGCCGTTGGGATGCTTTGCCAGTGTCTTCCCCAGCTCAGGGACATTTGACAGAGAAGACAGCTTTGTTCTTTCCCGTTTTACCAGGCGGGTCCCTGAAGTAACTTGGCTTCTCCGAGTAGTAGGCTTAGAGAGGCTTGGGTGGTTGGCCTGTAGCCACGGTTTTAGGGCACCAGTTAGAGGTGTGGGCAGGGGTGGACAAGGTAGGATAAGGTTCCTCCAGGTACTGTACCCGTAGACTTTGTACAAGAGGAGCACACCCAAGTTAAGCGAGGTGCTGACTCCGATGCCACAGTATCATCATCTGCTGTATCTCTCTCTCTTGGACATAAAATCTTTTTTTTTCTCAGCATTTTGTCTTATTTCTCCATCAAGATTGAAGCAGCTGACTCTTTAAAAGTTAAGACTGCCGCAGAGTGATGTGCGGCAACACACTAAGCCTAGATACATGACAGGTAGTGATGTGTCCTTCAGTGCCGAGGCTTCGAAGCGTGTGTCGAGTAATGAAGGGGGCGTTTCCGCGAAGCGCGTTTCGAGGCTTGCTTCATCTAGGGGTGGAGCCAAAAATGATGACGTCTGAAGCCTCGCTACCCGGCTTTACCACGTGACTGATTCAAGAAACGGTTCACGGGTTTGGCGGATGATTTAACAGGCAGCGAAACGCAATGGAGTCCTCCCCCACTCGCAATCCATAGACTCGAGACTTGTTGAAAAGTTGTTTTTAAATAAAAATAAATAAATGTAAATGAAATGTTTATGTTTTATATGTTGTCCCCGTAACAAACTAAGTAACACTAGCACATCCACACCACAACCCTCTCCATAATTTATGTCCTCTTTCCCTTTTTAACACTGCAACTGTGTCTTAAAGACAAACACCATATTAATAAGTTCATCGTTTCTGTATTGTATCACAAACACACGGCATCACATCCCTTCATTCATTGAATTCAAAGCTTCGCGCACCAAAGCCTCAGGGTGTCTTTAGTTTATCACTCTGCCTGTTTTACATTTATTGTCCACTTGATGGCGCAATAGAGCAAATGAAGCACGATCATGAAGCTTCGGCCCAGGAGGCGAGTAATTGGATGGAAAGCTTCGATGCTTCATGAGGCTTCATCTCGCCATCACTAATGACAGGGGTGAAAACTTTTAAAGTGCTGATTATGTCTTCCCGAAATGGCGTACTGCTGCGTAATGGCTTACTGTCACTTCCGGGTGAGAGAAAGACCCGCAGATTGAGCGGGAAAAAGCTTGATGCTCGGTGAAATGTCTATTGATTAGAGCCAAGTCGACTAGAGACTGATCAAGTCTTTGGTTGAATCTTTGAATGTACTTCAGTTCTGCGTACTGAAAACACTTCACATATGACATCTCCAAATACGCCGAAAGCTACATGAATTCAGCTAACCTCGGAGATTTAAACAGCCGAGCATCACGATATTTAAGCATCACAGACTCGTCTCCGCAATCCACAAATGCGTCTATCATTGTAGTCAGAGCACAACAAGATTAATGTCTGTACCTGCGAGGATTCGGCTCCGCGGATTAGGTGTAATTGCAGCCGCGGGAGGGAAGAATTGGACGCCGGTGGAGACGGGGACTGCACTTCCCAGGGTCCTTCGCGGGATGGTGACGCCGTCGTCGGTTGTCGCTGGAGTGACGTCATCGTTCAGCGCGGTGAATGCAGGTACCGGGTGGGATGAAGGGAGACAGCTTAGCACGGGCCGAACCGGATTCTGAGGCTTCGAACCTTGAAGACATGTGGGTGAGCGATGGCTGGATGCTGGATAGTACTCTCAGGATGGGATTGTCGTCCAGGTTCGCGGGTCTGATAGCTGGGGTTGGGCCTCGCGCTCTGCGGGCGGCGGCGGTCAAACGGCGGGAAAAGTGTTTTCTTTTCTCGGTCGCTTTTCTGGATACAGAGGAGGAACAGAGAACTGCGAGTGGAGGATCTATGTGGATATTTTCCATAAACGAGGTAAAAACTCTTGATGTGAGGCACCATCTGGAGCTGTGATGTTATTTTAAAGGACTTCCAGGAGCCCGGACTCCGGCCGTTCATTGAAACTGGGAGAAATGGAAGTTTTACTTTCCAGAGGAGAGCTCCTACTGAAGGGAATGCAGCTGTCGTTGTAAGTACTGTCGTCCTCGATTTCGCAGCACTGATGTTACGTTTCTGAAAAGCCTTCATCCATGCTAGTAGAGCAGACAAATGCACAAAATAGCCCGAATCATTCACTTTGTTATACAAGCATGAAATTTGGTACATATACTCTTCAAACCCCACTCTTTTCAAAAATAACGTTAGCCACGCAAAATTCCAAGATGGCGGCCTCAAAATCCAAGATGTCCGCCCAATAATGTGTTTTTCCTTTATAACTCAAAATGCCTTGATTTTAAGCCCCATAAATATATTGAAATTGAATATAAAGTTGGGTATTGCGGACATTTTGGTACCTAGTACATCTCTGTATCTATTACGGTTCTTGAGATACAGCATATAGATACTTGTACAAAATTGGGAGAGTAAGAAATTTGTAACACAGATTGTTGTTACATGCATTTGGTTATATGAAAATATCATTTTCATTATCTGTTATTTTCATTAGGGTTATAACATGAAATTTGAAAACCAAGATGGTGTCCAAGATGGCTGCCATTGCCTTGAAGTAATCCGATCTTCGTGACTATGAAACAATAACTTTTGGCGTGCACATATTTTTGGTCTATGCATCCAATGGGGCCATTGCAGTACAGAATTTAGATTTTAGTATGGGTGGATGGGGTGGTTGCTGGACATTTCGAAGACATTTGTTTCGCTTCAAGGGCAAATACTCTCTGGCTACTTGCGGGGGAGGCCACGTGGAGGTTGTCTTCTTCTCCCCCTTTTTTTTTTTTTGGCTTTTTTTTCTATTTTTTTTTTTTCTATTTTTATTTTTTTGCTTTTTAAATAAAATCTCTTCTATCACTTGGGTTTCAACCATATACTAAACTATTGGATACCGTGCAAACCGATCACTAGGGAATGCACTCAACTCGTTTGCAGTGTTTTTTGAAAACCTTATACCCATACCTAACACTATACTAAAATTCAGAAGTTGTTACACCTCACAGTTGCAACTGCACAGAGCTGTACACATGAGACCCAATTTGTAGCACTTGCACCTGCCACAACAGCCAGATTTACAGCCACATTTGGTGAGCTGTTCACATGACTTGGCTATTGGAGAGTTGGCTGTCCAGAAGACCTGCCATTCCTCACCAACCTTTTTCCATCCCCAGTCCGCAGGGTCCTTTGCTTCTGGCTGACACTGGGTTGCCTGGGCCCACACACAACCAGCCTGATAGGCGGCATGCCTGGTGTGTTGTAGTAGAGCTGCTCTGGTTGATGGGATAGACTCATAGGGCCTCTGCTTTCTGGCAAACAAGTCAAGCCTTGCCTCATCCACAGTAGTAGCTGTGCTGGATCTGTCATACATGAGAATGACAAACTTCTCAAGCACCTCTATGTCACAGTCCTCTTCTGTGGGAGGGTGAATACCCAGTTTGGCAAATACAGGCAAGGCTTCTGGACATATGTCCCATGTCTGCCAAGCTGTTTTCTTGCCTTTGTTGCGGAAGGGAATGGAAGATGGAAGATGGGCATGGAAGAAGAGCATGCCTTTGACCTTCTCCTGGCCAACATGCTGAAATATGTCATGCACACTGATCCAGCGCAGAGTCTGACCTTGCCCAAATGCAAGCCACATATGCTGTAAACCAGCCTCTTGGAGACCGCCAAATACACTTAGTGCTAAGATCAGAACATCTGTGTCATTTGCCTTGATCGTGAGGGATTGGCTACCATGGTCAGTAGCATGTTTTGCGTGCACAAAGATGTGGCTGTCCGCTTCCTCGTGAGAGCACCTATCCAGTCCATCAAGACAAGTTGCATGAGTGCTGAGGACAGCAGGTCCCTTTGTGACAATGATGGTATTTGGGGCAAACATTTGTGCAACCTTGTCGGCAAGAAAGTGGTACAACTCTGTTTTGTTTTCATTTTGCCTCAGGAAGTTATGCCAGTTAGATGGCATGGCGTTCTTATTTGATACCTTGCGTCTTCCCCCCTGGCCACGTTTGGACCTGGTCTCAGCTTTAAGGCTTGATGTATTGTACACATCAAAGACTAGATGTGTCATTGTGTACTTGTTGGAGTACATGTAGATCACAGGTAAGAAGTCGAGAGCTGCATAGTCCTCAAAAGTCCTGGATCTTTTTGGTGGCAGGGCGTGGTCCAAAGCTGACCCATCTACAATGAGAACGTCTGCCTCAGGTTCCTTGTCAACTGGTGCGGCATAATTCTCAAGGATAGAGGTCAGCTGAGACTTCTGGCAAGTGTTCAATTTTCCACCCTTGCTCAATGCAACAGGGAAGGACTGGTTCTCATGCTGAAAGAACTCCTGGAGGTCACACTCTCGGCTCTGACAAGAGATGAAAAGCTTTGAGAACAGCTGACAGTCCTCCTTGAGAAGTTTCTGCTTTGAGGGTTCAGCAGAAGAAGAGTCCTGTCTGAAGAAATCAGACTTGTTCTTCTTGATTGGCTCATAGAAAAAGGACGGATTGTTTTCCAGGGCCTGTGAAAACTCCAGAAATTTTGCCTGACCTCTCTGCAAGTGAGACTGCAGAAGTTCTGCTCTGTCAGGGTGAGCAATATCTTTGGTGTCAAGCGAATACAGGTCTTTACTGTCTTCCTGGAATGGGTTGCCGAGGTCTTTTAGAGTTTGGGACAATTTATCAACCCTCCTCTTGAAGGTTTTCTGTGCCTGTGAAGTTTGCTCATGTTGGCTTCTGTGCTCACTGGGCTCTTTGGTTTGTGCATCCATTTCATATTGGGACACCAAACAACTGACCTCAGGACCAGCTACCATCCATCTCGTAAGTGCGGATGGGTCTTCAGTAAGCCCGATGGCACCACTATCACCCTTGATGATGGCATTCCCATACTAAAATCTAAATTCTGTACTGCAATGGCCCCATTGGATGCATAGACCAAAAATATGTGCACGCCAAAAGTTATTGTTTCATAGTCACGAAGATCGGATTACTTCAAGGCAACGGCAGCCATCTTGGACACCATCTCGGTTTTCAAATTTCATGTTATAACCCTAATGAATGATATTTTCATATAACCATATGCATGTAACAACAATCTGTGTTACAAATTTCTTACTCTCCCAATTTTGTACAAGTATCTATATGCTGTATCTCAAGAACCGTAATAGATACAGAGATGTACTAGGTACCAAAATGTCTGCAATACCCAACTTTATATTCAATTTCAATATATTTATGGGGCTTAAAATCAAGGCATTTTGAGTTATAAAGGAAAAACCACATTATTGGGCGGACATCTTGGATTTTGAGGCCGCCATCTTGGAATTTTGCGTGGCTAACGTTATTCTTGAAAAGAGTGGGGTTTGAAGAGTGTATGTACCAAATTTCATGCTTGTATAACAAAGTGAACGATTATCTCCTTATCTGCTCTACTATGCCGTGGATCTCCGTCGTGGGCATCGACATGATGAAGAGCAAGGTAGGAAAAAGCAAAAAACGCAGATCTGAGTGTTCTTGTTAGCTTGCAGAGCGGTTGTAGCAGCTTGCTGATTAGCTGTCAGAGCAGAGGAAGAGGCGGGGTTAGTGCAGTTTTAAATAAGGCGCTCTGTAGGCAAAGAACCAATAGGAGCTAGGAGTGAATCAGCTGATTATCATCTGGTTGAGGTGAATACTTGCCATTGGCTGCGGATCAGCGCTTGACGTTGTGTCCTGACAGAACTAACGCTATGCTTCATTTTTACTGCTGTTAAAAGTCAAAACAGGTCAAATTTGACACAAACCGTTTGTGAGGTTTAAAGGGCCAGGCGCTGGACAGGCCAAACAGCGCCCCCCATGATCAAGGCCGCAATTTAATTTAACAACAACAATTAGTGATGCACGATATGAAAAATTTCAACCTATACCGATAACCGATAAATTCATATTTTAATATTTATTATAATCCTCATATAATCTGCAGTTTGTGCAGGATGCAGCGATTGAAAACTGATATTTTTGTTGCTCTGGCCTATCTAGAACAACAAACAAAAGTTTTTGGACCTTCAAATGTTTATTTTTTCCATGTCATCACAAAAATATGTGGTCATTTGCTATAAATAACAATAACAGAGCAAAAGGCAGAACTTCATTTGACCAAAAAAGTGCATCCCCTGAACTGTTCAACAGAACTGTAAACTATAAAGGAATTTTGGAGGTAAGTCAAGTATTTTTTGAATACAAAATTATATGTATTGACTTATATGTCAATCTCAAATACAAAAACAAATAAATAAATCAAAGTGCGAAGTGTAGCAAAAAAATGAAAGTGCATCCTCAAAAATAAAGTGAGTAATCAACCAAAGATTTACAGAAATATTAATGCTTGGACTGCATCAGGCATGGTAGAAAAATTATTTTTGTTCAAAATTTAAGGAAAAAAAAAAAAAACTTAAATGATTTCCTCCTTCAACATTTCTTAACTTCCCCCCAAACTATTTTTTCACCCTCACTGTCAATGTCTACATTGTCTTTTCTACTTTCTAGGTGAGGGCATCAGTGGGAGATTTTTCTTAACAAAAAGAAGCATCTCTGCCTTCTCACATCCAACTCTGTTTCTTTTTTCATCAATAACATTGGCAGCAGCAGAAAACAAACCCTCACTGTCTATGCTCGTGCAAGGAGAGGACAGGTATTTCCGTGGTCGTCGACCGCTATGAACTCCATCACTTTGTCGTTAATGGCTTTAGCCTTTTCGCTGTCTCTTGAGAGGCTTTTGCAGTTTTCAAATGCCTGCTGAATGGGGACATCGATCCTCCGTAGTGTTGTTGTCTTAGCTTTAGCACCGCTAGCAGCTTCGGCGGCTGTCTCATATTCTTTAAATACTGCGATGGCGACTTTTCAGATGAGCTATCAGATTCGTTGTGTTAAAACTTGACGTCTTCTTTCCTCCTCTCGGAATCCTCGCTGAACAGGTTTTGCAAATAGCAATGCTGTTGTCATCTTCTGCCACTGAGAAAAATGACCATGCTGGTGAAGACATTTTATTATCTGTCAGGTAGTGACGGGGTCAGGCTTGGGACCTGCGAGTAAGGCGCGATAGATGACGTAACCAGCGCGTCTCGGATGGGCAGCTACTCTGCCTGCAAACGTTACTCGTAATTTCATTAATATATCGGATCTTTCTATCGGAAAAATGCACCTATCGGATCGATAAAAAATGACGTAATTTCCCCCCAAATCGGCCGATATCCCTAACATCCCTAACAACAACAACAACAACAACAACAACAATTGGAACACTCAATCCTAGAACGTGAAGCAGAGCCGGAACAGCAGCGCTCTTCAGGAAACTCTAAAGGCTAAAACCTCCAGGATGTGTATCTGGAGCATGGCAGCAGCGTCTCATGTCACGCAGCAAACAGGTTTCCATTCTAGTCAATACAGTAAAGCGTACAGGACGCTCTGCTAAAGATACGCAGTCAGTCCATTTTTGCTGCTCTGCGTTTCCAACGTGCGTCAATCCACACAGAGAACATCGTCCTAGACAGGAAGTCAAGCACGAAAAACGTGCATGTTATTCAGTATTTCAAAATAAAACCCCATCTGTGAACTCCTGACTGTGTATCAGTTGGTGTAGATTGGATTTATCAGTAACACAGAACAATCTGATGGTCGATCCCTGATCCATGTGGACCCCAACAGGACTTTGACCTGCTAACTCTGTCTGAAGGAAACAGCAGAAAGGAACAGAGTTTACTTTATTAAACATGAATAAACCTGAAAAAACACAAACTGGAAAATCACTTCAAGCTTTTTCACAGACAGTCACTGAATTATATCAGAATTATCAGGAAGTCGACCACAGAATGGAAAAACAACCTGTTGTGAGCGTGTTGTTTCCTCTATACTGAGCCCAGCTGACCGGGGCCGAACTACGCTGCTGCTACGCTCCAAATACACATCCTGTTTGTGATACCAAATACTGCTCTACGGCGCAAATATGGAACAACGTGCTCAATACAGATCCTGTATGTTTTACGACGAATGTGGTTTATTTAGAGTAGCTCAGCAGCGTAGGAGGCCAAAGACAGCGTGGAGTAGGGCGGCTGGAGACACCGCTGCACCCGGAAAGGTTTCCAGTTTCCGGCAGGGCGACCCGACCCCACGCCACCAGCAGCTGCACCGAGATGAAGACCATGACGCAAATTAGCGCATTGAATGCACGAAAGGAGAGACAGTAAGCACTATGGCTGCACGATATATCGTTTGAGCATCGTCATCACGATGTACGTGCGCGCCATAGTGACACTGCAGTGCCTGGATGTCGAAGGTGAGTGAACTCATCTAATTTCAAGGATAGCTGATTGAGAGACACTGAATGTGACTCTCCATGAGCTGTGCAGTGATCCACCAATCACATTCTTTCTGTACTCAGTCGCCAATCAGTCTACCCTGCCAGCCATCAATCAAAATCAGAGCTGAGGAAACCACGCCCCTGCACATGGAGTGAGTGGGCACGTGTTTCTCAGCACAACATCAACGATTTCAAAATGAGAAACGAACCAAAGAAAACAGCCGAAGATGAAGACTCGTTAGCACAAAGAAAAGACACGTCACTCACCTTTGAAGATCAATGCTTGTTGACAAAAAGAAAAATCAACGTCACTTTTTGGAATTATTTCTGTTTCAAGAACGATGACGTCACTAAGCACCTGTTCTGTGTCGGCAGTGCCTTTCATCAAGGAGAGATAACGAGTCCCAGCACAATAAAAGCTCAAAACATCTCTGAGACAGACAGAAGCCATTCTACTAACATTCACTAAAAGAGGTAAGATCAGTGCAGGTTAACTGTCCTCAAGATCTCAGCAGAAAGTCAGATTCAGATCATCTGGTGAGAATTCCTCTATTTTTTCATGTCGCAACATATACCGCACGGCTATAAAAAACACAACACAGCCACGCACCAGAGAACTCCCGGCAGAGCAACCCGGCCCCACGCCACCAGCAGCCTTCCACACGCCATGGCCGACACACCAACAGACCACTCACCTCACACCAGCTCCACCACGCGCTGCACCACGCCACACAGGTCGGGAAGCAGACAAGGTAGCGCGCGAGCTACGGCTGCACTTAATAGTGGCGAGGTGCCGCCCGTCAATTAAAGGTAAACTGGAAGCGCGCCCCGCTGTGGGGTGGCATGCACGGTGCTCCGTCTACGTTAAAAAGAGGATTCTGACGTATTTCTGACAGAAGTGTGTGTCTGTCTGTGTGTGTGTGTGTGTGTGTGTGTTTACCTCGCTTTGGTTTGTAGTCTTTGAAGGCTTCACGAGAGAGTTCCAGGTTGTGTTTGCAGACCTCTCTGTTAGCCACAGCACTTCGATAAGCTCCTGTTCCGTACTCTACCTTAATCACAAAGTCAGGCTGAGGGTTAACCAAGTTTCCTGCTTCAAAGTCTGCGAAGGCCAGCTCTTCACCATCCAGACCGTACATGTCCTCAGCAAAGGTCTGAGTACAACCAACAAGACGAAAGTCCTCATGAAGGTCTGAGGAGAAAACAGAGAACCTGTTAGTGTGTGTGTGTGTGTGTGTGTGTGTGTGTGTGTGTGTGTTCTTATGTTCTGGTTTAAAATGAGTCACAAACTCACCATCAGCTGAGACACCGAGGACACAGGAGAGGACCAGGACCAGGACCAGGATCATCTTCATCCTCTGAGACCTGAAGAAGTTGACCTACCTGAGACTCTGAACACCTGAACCAGACTGAGACTGAGAACACCTGAGCCGGTCTGAGACACTGAGGATCTGAACTGGTCTGAGGAGGACTAACAGGAACTCAGTGAGCAGCTGGCTCTAAAAACTGAACGGCCAATCAGGTTTTGTGACATCATCAGTTACCAGGTAGAGGCAGTGTGCTGCTGCTGCTCTCAGCAACTGTTGAACAGAGAGCTGCAGATCAACCTGATCAATAATCAATCACCTGTTGGTGTCGTCCCAGATCCACAGTGACCTGACAGAACCAGAACCACACCTCTCACCCTGGGTCCACTTCTGTCTCAGGTCTGTGTCTCGACTAAACCCGATCTACGATCAGAGGATACGACCTTTTAGGAGACGATCAGGATGAAGGTGGAAGTTGAGGGTTACTCTGAGTTTTCAGGTATTAAACATGGAGGTAGTGAGGTATCAGGACCTGAAGTGAACCCCAGTACCCCCCAGCCAACGAGTGATGTGAGGTGCCATGATGTCGTGGCGTCATTGGTCAGAACTCCTGGGTCTACAGTTACACCACAAACAGAAACCATGACCCCTCTAATGCTGAAAATCAAGACCCTGGACCAGGTCTAGACTCTCGAACAGAATAGTTCAGGGAATTACAGAACTAGAACTCTGAAAGTACTAGATCTTCATGACTCTGGTCCTGTGAGGACATGTCGGTTGGAGACCTTCGACCTTTACGTAGAAAACTCTTTCTCTGCGGTTTGAGAGGAAAGTATCTGACCGTCCAGCTCAGCCAATCATGTTCATCAGAGCACTGGAGTCAGGACTGACTGTATCAGGAAAAACTGATCAATACACGAGACCGCTTTCATTCAACAAATCCACAGTTGATCAATAAATCCACTCCAAGTTTTCTGAAGGTTTATTGTGGTCAGAAAAAGTCCCAGTAAAAACAGAAACATCTCAAAATCACATCCTACCAGCCCCAAAGCCCTCCAACCACTGGATTATATCTGATCAAACAGCAGGGTTATTGATCCTGTCAAATATCGATTCACACTCTAAAGCATCAAACAGTAAAGGAAGCAGAGTCCAGATCCACAATCCAGACTAAACCTGATCCAGGAACACCCCTGGACCAGGGTTCAGAGCAGCCGAGCAGCAGAGAATCAGGTGTTCAGCCAGTCCAGCAGGTGGCAGCAGAGACAATCTGCTGAGCTGAAAACACAGGAAGCTGATTTTTCCTCCTCCATCCAGGACCAGGCCCGAGACCAGGACCAGGACCAGGATCAGTCAGTCTGGGGAACCAAAGTCCTTCCTACATAACAAAGAAAATGAAGAAGAAGATCATAGAGAGACACGGACAACACAGCTGTTAAACTGGTCTGAACCATACTGGCTGTACTGGTCTGAACTGGTCTAAGACTAAGGAAAACTGGTCTAAACTGGTCTAAGATTACGGTGTACTGGTCTGAACTGGTCTTAGACTATGGTGTACTGGTCTGAACTGGTCTAAGACTATGGTGTACTGGTCTTAGACTATGGTGTACTGGTCTTAGACTATGGTGTGCTGGTCTGTACTGGTCTAAGACTATGGTGTACTGGTCTGAACTGGTCTTAGACTATGGTGTACTGGTCTAAGACTATGGAGTACTGGTCTGAACTGGTCTAAGACTATGGTGTACTGGTCTGAACTGGTCTTAGACTATGGTGTACTGGTCTAAGACTATGGTGTACTGGTCTTAGACTATGGTGTACTGGTCTGAACTGGTCTTAGACTATGGTGTACTGGTCTGAACTGGTCTTAGACTATGGTGTACTGGTCTGAACTGGTCTTAGACTATGGTGTACTGGTCTGAACTGGTCTAAGACTATGGTTTACTGGTCTAAGACTATGGTGTACTGGTCTTAGACTATGGTGTACTGGTCTTAGACTATGGTGTACTGGTCTGAACTGGTCTTAGACTATGGTGTACTGGTCTGAACTGGTCTTAGACTATGGTGTACTGGTCTTACTTCTGGACTTGCTCTTGAAGTAGATGAATCCAGCCAGAGATAAGATCAGACCCAGGATCAGTCCTGAGGCCCCGATGGCAATCTTGTTCTTCTCAGACTCAGGCATGGACGGGTCTGAGGACAGACAGGTGAGAGGAAGGTGAACAGGTGAACAGATGAACAGGTGAACAGGTGAACAGGTGAACAGGTGAACAGGTGAACAGGTGAACAGATGAACAGGTGTAGGATGGACAGGTCTTTACCCCATTCCACGACCAGCGGCTCCTTCAGGCTGATGTGCTCCACCACACAGGTGATCTTCTCTCCAGACCTGCTCCAACAAAAAAAACCACATCAGAGGTTCTGTGATACTCAAGAGACCAGGGGTCCGTTTCACGTAGGTGGTTCAACAAACTCTGAGTTAAATCCTTAACTCTGAGTTGATCTACTCTGAGATAAGAAACTCTGAGTTTCCGGTTTCACAACACCTGATTTGAGTCAGTTTTAGCAACTCCGAGTAGTTTGACCTGGAGTTAAGCACGTGCACGCCAGACATAAACAGCCAGCATCTGTGGAGCCCAGATTCATTGATCAACCAATGGAAACAGGGAGAAGGAGGGGGAAACAGCAAGCCAACAGCGAATTACAGCACGTTTTTAAAAGAAAGTGCAATACAGCAGCAGCTGCAAAGGAGAGGGAGAGGGCTTGGGAGGAAATCGCTGCTCGCGTCAATGCGTAACTTTAAATCTAGTCTCGTGCAATCACAATGACAGACTGTTGCAGGGAAACTGCTTGAATGGAGCAAATTAATTTATTTTATGTAGGTGCAATCCAGCGGGACAAAAACGCACTTGGCAGCAGCTGAAAATTAAATATAAAAACATTGTGCAAACAGGTGAGACATCTGCATTTTCTCATTTTGATCATGTTTTACATTGTCAAGTAAGTATTAAGTGGCAGTTTGATCCCTTAGAAAATGCTCTTTTCACACTCAAAAATAAATTCTACTCTCTTATTGTGTTCCGTTAAATGATTAGGAATATTAAACTAACTCTCAGTATATATATGTATATATATTAATTAAGGCTGTCAAAGTTAACGCGTTATTGTCGCGTTAACTCAAGTGACTTTTATCGCCACTAATTTTTTTGACGCACGATTAATGCGAGCCTTAGCCTGGCTTGACGAAACTATACACACACTGTGTGGATATTCTTGCCGTTGTTAAAGGGTAGAGGAACAGTTGGTGAGCTATGTGAGCCTCGGGGCACTCCGTAATTTCGCGAATCAGGAAGTAGAGCACTGACTGATACCGCAGCAGACATAAACAAATCCACGTGAGTAGAAACTAGGATATAATGGATAAGAACACGATTTTGAACGGAGAGTTCAGCTACAAAGCCTTGCCAGATGGCTCTCTTGACAGGACAAAAGTCATTTGTGTTTCCTGTCGAGCTGAATTTAGTTACCACCGGAGTACGTCTAGTCTCAAATATCACTTGTCGGCCAAGCACACAGCTGATGCAGAGAGCCCCGCATCCCCCCCGCCTCAAGCAAACAACGCTGAATGTGCAAGGTAAACAGATGGAGAGCTCTACTAAACGCAAACTTGAAACAGTGATCGCTAAATGGGTGGCTACCGCTTGTCGGCCGATTAACATTGTGCAGGACGTTGGTCTGCGTGAAATCATACGGATCGCATCCAATGACTGGACATATGAATTACCTTGTAGGACCACCATTACCATGAAAATCCACGATCTGTTCTCATGTTGATAAAAGTATAACAATTTGAAAAAGATCGATTTAGAATGGATCAAAAATATGCGATCAATTTGCGATTAATCATGATTAATTATGATCACAATTTGATTAATCGCGATTAAATATTTTAATCGATTGACAGCCCTAATATTAAATTAACACACACTACACTCAATATTAGACTTTCACTCAGCAAACAGAAAGAGGGCAAATGCCAGAAAAACAGGTGGTGGCCCAGCAGCCCCACCTTTAACGGAGGCAGAGGAGCCCCCCCCCCCCCCCCCGTTCGACGATCGCAACCCCCCACCCCCCCACCCCGTAGCAGCGATCGTCGGACTGGTGTGTGTGTGTGTGTGTGTGTGTGTGTGGGGGGGGGGGGGGGGGGTCGAACGGGGGTTGCAGCTCCTCATTTGCAAGCTCCGATTTGCGAGCTCCTCCGCCTCCGTTAAAGGTGGGGCTGCTGGACCACCACCCGTTTTTGTGTTAGTTTAATATTCCTAATCATTTAACGGAACATAATAAGAGAGTAAAATTCAGTTTTGAGTGTGAAAAGAGCATTTTTTAAGAGATCAAACTGCCACTTAATACTTACTTGACAATGTAAAACATGATCAAAATGAGAAAATGCCGATGTCTCACCTGAAACTCTGGGTTTACTGAGTTAAACCTGCTCCCGAGCAGGTTAGGTTCACGGAGTCTGTTACTGTGGTAACTGACCGCGAGGTTGAGTTACCTCTCTTTGTGAAACAGGTTAGAGTTACCCCTCTCTCCCTGGTTTAACTAACCCTCCTTTGTGAAACGGAAAACTCAGAGTTTCCCTGATTTCAGGGTTAACAAACTCGGAGTTTCCACTAAACCTGCTACGTGAAACGGACCCCAGGTCTAGGAGGTCAGACTCACATCTCCCAAACCTGGATGTGGACTCACTTGGGTGTGTACTCCAGGTGGGAGTGGATCTGGTAGTACCAGTCTCCGTCTGCCATCTCATCAGTGGAAGTGACCCCAGAGGTCACCTCCTTCCCGTCTCTTTTCCAGGTCACTTTGATATGTTTGGGGTAGAAGTCGTAGACGATGCAGACCAGCACGGCAGGATGTCCACCACCAGAGGGCGCCTCAGAGTGCAGCCTGGCGTGGGGCTCAGCTAAATTAGAGAGGATGATAATTAACTGATAATTAGAGAAGAGGATATTTAAGATGCTGATCATTTAGGAGGATGATTAAAGGAGATGATCATTAAAGATGATGACTGAAGAAGGGTTTGATTTGTCTCTTCTCAGACACCGTACTCTCACAGTCATGTCTTTTTCACGTCTTCATATTTGACACATTTATCTGAGAACACAGACGCTGTAACAGGACAGCTGGTTTGAATAACTGTAGTAACACAGTCTGAGCAGCAGGCGGTGACAGAGAGCTGTGTTTGAGATGAACCTGGTGTGTCCGCAGAGTTCCTGATATTTCTCAAACTAACCCTTCAGTGAGGTGAATCTATAAATCAATATAAATCTATGATGGTGATCAGTGTAATGATTGATTTCAGCATTCATGACCGTCAGACTTGATTTCATACATCAGCTGATAAACACAGAAGAAGAAGAAGAAGACCATCCTTCAGCCCAGCTGTGACTGTCAGTTCAAAATATGTTCGTGTAGAAATAGGAATATTATCAGTTTATCAATCAATCACTTAATCAATACAGTGATGAAGTGGTGCTGTGTGACGTCACTGAAACACAAACTCACCGTGTTTAGGCAGAAAATTTGGGTAGAAGTTTTCAATGTTGTATTGACAGTATCTGGACTTCTCAGCTCTATAGCTGTTCAGCACTGAAGGATCATTGTTCCAGGCCTCTGCCTGCTTCACACCAACTTCAGTGTATCCAACAAATTTCCCCACACTGCTGCTGAATCTGGTCAACTCCAGTTTGTTGTAGTAGGTGGAGAAGATGAACTCGATGTTGTTTGGATCAGTGGAGTTAAACACACAACGGTACACTGCAACTTCCATTGATCCATCTGAGAAACACACAAGATCAGTCAGGTGTGTGTATAGATCTCTCAGGTGTGTGTATAGATCTCTCAGGTGTGTGTGTAGATCTCTCAGGTGTGTGTGTAGATCTCTCAGGTGTGTGTATAGATCTCTCAGGTGTGTGTGTAGATCTCTCAGGTGTGTGTATAGATCTCTCAGGTGTGTGTGTAGATCTCTCAGGTGTGTGTGTAGATCTCTCAGGTGTGTGTATAGATCTCTCAGGTGTGTGTGTAGATCTCTCAGGTGTGTGTGTGTAGATCTCTCAGGTGTGTGTATAGATCAGTCAGGTGTGTGTGTGTAGATCTCTCAGGTGTGTGTATAGATCTCTCAGGTGTGTGTTGATCGTACCTGTGCTGTTGAAGCCGATGAAGATGAAGATGAAGATGAAGAGGAGGGAGACTCTGAGAAAAGTTGAAGCCATCTTGGTCTGCTGTCTTCACCGACTGAAACTCACTCTGACTGAGAGCAGCTCTAAAAACCAGAAGTCCTCATTAAATCAGCCAATCAGCAGCTGTTACCAGGCAGACGACTCAGACTACGGTCTGCTGCTGAGACACTCACACACACACACTCACACACACACACACACACACACACACAGATACACATACACTCACACAGATACACACACTCACACATACACACACTCCAGTCTGCTGTCCGTCCCCTGCTCTGTTCTCTCCTCATTGAATTAAAAGGAAATAAATCATAGAAAAAAACAAACAGATTAGTTTTTTTTTGTGTTCCTCACAGGGTTCGAGGAGTCTACAGTCAGCAGACACCTGAGACAGACTGATGAAGGGTTAGTTATTCAGGTGGAGCATCAATAAATCAGAATATCAGATAAAAGTTCAGTTTAAAGACTGAAACTCATGAGTTATACAGGTTCATCACAGACAGACTGAGATATTTAAAGGGTTTATTTTATTTTGAGGATTTCATTCAGACCTGATTCAAAACCCAAAATTCAGGATCTCAGAAAATCAGAATAGTTCTTCAGATCAATCATATAAAATCAAGATTTTCAGCTCAGAACTGTTGGACTGCTGAAAAGTCTGAACATGTGGAGCTCTCAGCTCCTGGTCTGGGTCTTTGCATGAATTAGGAGGTCAGTCTGTGGCTCTGCTGAGGTCTGATGGGGACCTGCAGCTCTTCATCTCTTTACATCTTCATAGTACCCCACAGACCCTCTCTGCGGTCTAGGTCTGGGGAGTTTGCTGGTCAATCACTTAAAGGGTCACCATGGTCCATAAACCAGGTTCTGGTACTTCTGGCAGTGTGTGAAATCCTGCTGGAAAATAAAACCAGCATCTCCATGAAGCTGGTCAGCAGAGGGAAGAGTGAAGGTCTCTAGAACTTCCTGGTAGAGGTAAAAGGACTACCACAGTTGAAGTCCACGTCCTGATCCATCTGCATGTGGTGGTCCTTGAAGTTCTAACTCCAGCAGCAAAGTCTTGATGGTCCTGGTTTCTCAGTCCTCTCAGGTCTGCAGTTTTCACGATGTAAGTCATGACAAACTTCATCAGGACAAGCCCAATAAAGAGAGAAATTACAGATTATATTGAACATCTTCTGCTTCAGCTCCGTTCTTCTGCTGTATGAATAAATACTTGAACAGAAATGTTGGTTGGAGGTGAGCTCCTTGTTCATGACGTCACAGTTCTGATAGAATTAATTATTTAAATCTCTGAAGAATCTTGTTATAATGTCCACAACCCAGCAGTAAAATGTTCCCAGAAGAGGTTTTCTAGTTTAACAGACTTCAGTTCAGGGTCTGAAGGTTTTCAGAGGGACCAGGTCAGAGAGTCTGGATGTGGATGGTCTGGGGTCCATCCTGTATCTGGGGTCAGTGCTGAGGTCAGTCTGGACCTTTTCTGTGGTTCTAAAGCCGAGCAGTAAGAATCAGGAGGGGAGTCTGATCAGAGTCTAGAGAAAGAGGTCTGGTACGGTCTGAACCCCTCAAACCTCCAAACAGCAGAGTTCAGTCAGACTGATGAGAGTAAACACCAGGAGACAGAGACGTCACTCACTGAAGCTTTATTCAACACTTTCTGTTTCCATGGAGACGCTTTACACACACACACACAACAGCTGCGTTTAATACAAGATAATAAACAACACAGGTGATGATGACATCATCAGCCCCGACCAATCAGCTGCACTCGTTTCCTTTAATGAGGAAGAAGGTTCCAACAGCAACACCGAGCAGGCCGACAGTCAGACCGAGTCCACAGAACACAGCAGGACCGACACCGGGCTGGACCGTCTTCACCTCTGCAGACACACAACAGACACACACTCTGAGATATACACACTGAGATACACACACTGAGATATACACACAACACTCTGAGATATACACACTGAGATATATACACTGAGATATACACACTGAGATATACACACAACACACACACACTCTGAGATATACACACTGAGATATACACACTGAGATATACACACTGAGATATACACACTGAGATATACACACTGAGATATACACACTGAGATATACACACTGAGATATACACACTGAGATATACACACACTGAGATACACACACAACACACACTCTGAGATATACACACTGAGATATACACACACTGAGATATACACACTGAGAAATACACACTGAGAAATACACACTGAGACACAGCCCTCCCCCCCCTCTGTCTATGAAGAAGGTCTGCTCTCACCCCACATCCTGGTCTGCGGTTTCTCCAGGGTCAGGTGGTCCACAGAGCAGCTGTAGACGTCTCCTTCCTGGGTGGTGACCTCCAGTTTGGAGAACTGGCTGAAGGTTCCGTCTGTGTTCAGGAGGGGGACGTTCTTGGTGACCCCTTCAGTCACGTTCTCTCCGTTCTTACTCCAGAAGAAGGTCACAGGAGGCGGGTAGAAGCCGGTCACATGACAGACGAGGGAGTTCTTCTCCCCGAGCTCCAGCTGGTCTTTGGGGTAGACGATGGGACTGGACGGAGGGTCTGTAACCACAGAAAGAGAGGGGGGGGTGGGGGTGTCAGCACAGTTATCTCTGACAGTTTGACTTTAGGAACACGAGCTGTTGGAGAATTCTGCAGGAACTCAACGTGAGAGGACAAGAGCTGAGGGACGGAGGGGGAGAGAGAGGGGGGAGAGAGGGGGTGGGGGATTGTGTGTAAGAGAGAGAGAAAGAGAGAGAGTGAGGGAGTGTGTGTGTTTACCTCGCTCTGGTTTGTAGTCTTTGAAGGCTTCACGATCAATTTCCAGGTTGTATTTGCAGGTCTCTCTGTTAGCCACAGCACTTTGATAAACTCCTTCTTTGTACTCTGCTTTATCCACAAAGTCAGGCTGAGGGTAAACCATGTTCCCTGCTTCAAAGTCTGCGAAGGCCAGCTCTTCACCATCTAGACCGAACATGTACTCATCAAAGGTCTGAGTACAACCACTGAGACAAATGTCCTCATGAAGGTCTGAGGAGAAAACAGAGAACCTGTTAGTGTGTGTGTGTGTGTGTGTGTGTGTGTGTGTGTGTGTGTGGGTGTGTGTGTGTGTGTGTGTGTGTTCTTATGTTCTGGTTTAAAATGAGTCACAAACTCACCATCAGCTGAGACACCGAGGACACAGGAGAGGACCAGGACCAGGATCATCTTCATCCTCTGAGACCTGAAGAAGTTGACCTACCTGAGACTCTGAACACCTGAACCAGACTGAGACTGAGAACACCTGAGCCGGTCTGAGACACTGAGGATCTGAACTGGTCTGAGGAGGACTAACAGGAACTCAGTGAGCAGCTGGCTCTAAAAACTGAACGGCCAATCAGGTTTTGTGACATCATCAGTTACCAGGTAGAGGCAGTGTGCTGCTGCTGCTCTCAGCAACTGTTGAACAGAGAGCTGCAGATCAACCTGATCAATAATCAATCACCTGTTGGTGTCCACCCTTCAAAATAAACTTTTAATCCTTCACTGTCACTTGGAGATTTTCAGAATAAAAGACTTTTAATTATTTTTAAAGTTTCTGTTGAACTGAAACAAACTTTGTAAAAAAAAAAACCCCAGAAGACTAAAAACATGTAAGACAACCTAGAAACAGGTTTTTAGGATCATCCAGATCCACAGTGACCCGACAGAACCAGAACCACACCTCTCACTTCTGTCTCAGGTCTGTGTCTCGACTAAACCCACCTGAGGACCTCTGAGTTATGAAGGACTTTAGAGTCCTCATCTGACTGACCTGATAGAGAACAGAGAGTGAGGACCTCCAGACCTCAGACTGACTCTGGTTTTTGTTTGTTAAACTGGGACACTTTGACTGTCTGTTTCCTCTTTCTCCGTTCCCCACAAAAACCAGTCTGACCAGTGCTGCCTTCAAGTGTCCCACTAAAACCAGGAGTTTTCAGTGTTTGTGTCTGACGCTCAGGATCAGCTTTAATACTCAGCTTCAGTGAGGAGCGTGAGATTTCCTGCAGCACCTGAACATAGCAGCAGCAGCAGTTTGTGGAAAGTCCCCACTGTTTACTTTCACTTCCACCTCAACAGCCAATCAGAAGACGAGCTGCTGGCGTGTCATGGGTCACCAGGGGAAGAAAAATCACTGATGAGTGATGAGGAATCTCCACAGCAAAGTGCGCCTCCTGTCATATTGATCGGATGTATGGTGAATGGGTGGTTCTGCAGATCAGGAACTCCTCAGGTGATCCAAACCTCCACCTGCTCCCATCGCCCTCGTTCATCATCAGAGGTGTGTGGTCCTCAAGTACAGAAACTGTCACAGCACTTACCCGGGATTTCCACCGCATCCGGAACGGCTCCGATCCAGAATGGCAGTGATTTTTGCCGTACGCCAATTCCTATCAGATCTGTTTGTGAGACGAATTTCAGGGCGGATTACGGACAGCTGGAATCGCAAGAACTAACAAGAACCCTGCGGATTCACGTCCAATCACACGATAACAAGTTGTCTTTCGCCATGTAGGCTAACCATATAAACAGTAGATAGTGTCCTTCCAGAGGAGGAAATCTACTTCTAGAATCAATTCCAATCGTATTATCTGGGTGTCTTAATCAGAGTTCTTCAACTCCAATCCGAGTTCTCCTTATAGTCAGACTAAGGTCATTACATGCACTTCAGTTGTCCAGTCTTAATCGGTGTAAGGCAATAGTTCGGTTTGCTTAAGTGTCGTGTAAACGTTCTGATTGATCGACAGCCGAGAACATCCTTTATAAATCTGATCCATGTGTCTCATTTCAACACGATTCCGCCTGAAACTCGTCAAGTTCAACACAGTTTGTGGGTGTTACTTTTTACACAGCTTTGCCGTCATGAGAACATCTGAGCTAATAAATCCCACATTTTAGGGTCACCTCAGACCAGTCGATCCAGAGGGACCCTAACGCCAGATTTTCATCGCATCTGAAACGGCTCCGATCTGGAACGGCTGTGATTTTCGCCGTCCGCCAGTTCCTACCGGATTCGTTTGTGAGGCGGATTTCATGGTGGATTACGGAGACTGGGAATTGCAAGAATTAAAAATAACCCGCAGATTCATACGAGTTGTTGAAATTGTAGTTGTTTTTCGCCACAGAGGCTAACCATATAAGCAGTAGATTGTGTCCTTCCAGAGGAGGAAATCTACTTCTAGACTTCTAGAATCAGCATCTCCTCATCCATGGTGTCATCGGGGTGAAATGACGTCTAAAAACCTTTCACTTGTTCGTCTCCGCCCGTTTGCATGGTGTGAAATACGATCCTCCTGAAACACGGAGTGTTTTATTTTGAAAAGAAGCCGGATGTTTTATTTTGTGTCTGTGTCCGACTTCCTTTCCAGCACGGGTTAATCTGTGCTGAATTTATCCGCCATGCTCCGGCGTCCAGAAAAAAGAGTTGGCGATCCTCAGAGGAACAGAAAGAAGTCGGTGTAAATCGACACGTTAACTTGAATGGTTACGATCAGCTATGATCGGAGGAAACGACCTTTTAGTAGACGATCAGGATTAAGGTGGAGATTGAGGGTTACTCTGAGTTTTCAGGTATTAAACATGGAGTTAGTGAGGTATCAGGACCTGAAGTGAACCCCAGTACCCCCCCAGCCCCCCCCCCCCCCCCCCCTTAATATCCAGATCTTCTGATCAGGACTCAGTTTAGAGAACAATAACCAGATGACCAACGAGTGATGTGAGGCGCCATGATGTTGTGGCGTGATTGGTCAGAACTCCTTGGTCTACAGTTACACCTCAAACAGAAACCATGACCCCTGTAATGCTGAAAATCAAGACCCTGGACCAGGTCTAGACTCTCGAACAGAATAGTTCAGGGAATTACAGAACTAGAACTCTGAAAGTACTAGATCTTCATGACTCTGGTCCTGTGAGGACATGTCGGTGCGGAGACCTTTGACCTTTACGTAGAAAACTCTTTCTCTGCGGTTTGAGAGGAAAGACCGTCCAGCTCAGCCAATCATGTTCATCAGAGCAGACTCTGGAGTCAGGACTGACTGTATCAGGAAAAACTGATCAATACATGAGACCGCTTTCATTCAACAAATCCACAGTTGATCAATAAATCCACTCCAAGTTTTCTGAAGGTTTATTGAGGTCAGAAAAAGTCCCAGTAAAAACAGAAACATCTCAAAATCACATCCTACCAGCCCCAAAGCCCTCCAACCACTGGATTATATCTGATCAAACAGCAGGGTTATTGATCCTGTCAAATATCGATTCACACTCTAAAGCATCAAACAGTAAAGGAAGCAGAGTCCAGATCCACAATCCAGACTAGACCTGATCCAGGAACACTCCTGGACCAGGGTTCAGAGCAGCCGAGCAGCAGAGAATCAGGTGTTCAGCCAGTCCAGCAGGTGGCAGCAGAGACAGTCTGCTGAGCTGAAAACACAGGAAGCTGATTTTTCCTCCTCCATCCAGGACCAGGACCAGGACCAGGACCAGGACCAGGATCAGTCAGTCTGGGGAACCAAAGTCCTTCCTACAATTAAAGAAAACAGAAAGAATCACAGAGAGACACGGACAACACAGCTGTTAAACTGGTCTGTACTAGTCTAGGATTATGGTGTACTGGTCCAAACTGGTCGAATTTCAATTTCCACTGCGTCCGGGATGGCTTTGAACTGGAATGGCAGCAATTTTCACCGTACACCAATTCCTACCAGATTTGTTTGTGAGACGAATTTCATTACGTTGCTTTTCTTTGTGCCAATTTTTGTGTCTGTGCCCGACTTCCTTTCCAGCACGGGTTAATCTGTGCTGAATTTACCCGCCATGCTCTGGCGTCCAGAAAAAATAGAACTCTTGTGATCAGCTGAGGAGTCCGGCGATCCGCAGAGGAACGGAAAGAAGTCGGTGTAAATTGACACGTTAACTTGAATGGTTACGATCAGCTACGATCGGAGGATACGACCTTTTAGGAGACAATCAGGATGTGGTGGAGGTTGAGGGTAAGACTATGGTGTACTGGTCTGAACTGGTCTTAGACTATGGTGTACTGGTCTAAGACTATGGTGTACTGGTCTGTACTGGTCTAAGACTATAGTGTACTGGTCTTAGACTATGGTGTACTGGTCTAAGACTATGGTGTACTGGTCTGAACTGGTCTAAGACTATGGTGTACTGGTCTTAGACTATGGTGTACTGGTCTAAGACTATGGTGTACTGGTCTGAACTGGTCTAAGACTATGGTGTACTGGTCTTAAACTATGGTGAACTGGTCTGTACTGGTCTTAGACTACGGTGTACTGGTCTGAACTGGTCTTAGACTATGGTGTACTGGTCTTAGACTATGGTGTAGTGGTCTGAACTGGTCTTAGACTATGGTGTACTGGTCTGTACTGGTCTAAGACTATGGTGTACTGGTCTGTACTGGTCTAAGACTATGGTGTACTGGTCTTAGACTATGGTGTACTGGTCTGTACTGTGCTAAGACTATGGTGGACTGGTCTGAACTGGTCTTAGACTATGGTGTACTGGTCTGAACTGGTCTTAGACTATGGTGTACTAGTCTTAGACTATGGTGTACTAGTCTTAGACTATGGTGTACTGGTCTCAGACTATGGTGTACAGGTCTGAACTGGTCTAAGACTATGGTGTACTGGTCTTAGACTATGGTGTACTGGTCTGTACTGGTCTAAGACTATGGTGTACTGGTCTGTACTGGTCTAAGACTATGGTGTACTGGTCTTAGACTATGGTGTACTGGTCTGTACTGTGCTAAGACTATGGTGGACTGGTCTGAACTGGTCTTAGACTATGGTGTACTGGTCTGAACTGGTCTTAGACTATGGTGTACTAGTCTTAGACTATGGTGTACTGGTCTCAGACTATGGTGTACAGGTCTGAACTGGTCTAAGACTATGGTGTACTGGTCTTAGACTATGGTGTACTGGTCTGTACTGGTCTTAGACTATGGTGTACTGGTCTGAACTGGTCTTAGACTATGGTGTACTGGTCTAACTGGTCTAAGACTATGGTGTACTGGTCTTACTTCTGGACTTGCTCTTGAAGTAGATGAATCCAGCCAGAGATAAGATCAGACCCAGGATCAGTCCTGAGGCCCCGATGGCGATCTTGTTCTTCTCAGACTCAGGCATGGACGGGTCTGAGGACAGACAGGTGAGAGGAAGGTGAACAAGTGAACAGATGAACAGATGAACAGGTGAACAGGTGAACAGATGAACAGGTGAACAGATGAACACATGAACAGGTGAACAGATGAACACGTGAACAGGTGAACAGATGAACAGGTGAACAGGTGAACAGGTGAACACATGAACAGATGAACAGGTTAACAGATGAACAGATGAACAGGTGAACAGGTGAACAGATGAACACATGAACAGGTGAACAGATGAACAGGTGAACAGGTGAACAGGTGAACAGGTGAACACATGAACAGGTGAACAGATGAACAGGTGAACAGGTGAACAGATGAACAGGTTAACAGATGAACAGGTGAACAGGTGAACAGATGAACAGGTGAACAGATGAACAGGTGAACAGATGAACAGATGAACAGGTGAACAGGTGAACAGATGAACAGGTGAACAGGTGAACAGATGAACAGGTGAACAGATGAACAGGTGAACAGGTGAAAGGGTGAACAGGTGAACAGATGAACAGGTGAACAGGTGAACAGGTGAACAGATGAACAGGTGAACAGGTGAACAGGTGTAGGATGGACAGGTCTTTACCCCATTCCACGACCAGAGGCTCCTTCAGGCTGATGTGCTCCACCACACAGGTGATCTTCTCTCCAGACCTGCTCCAACAAAAAAAAACCACATCAGAGGTTCTGTGATCCTCAAGAGACCTGGTCTAGGAGGTCAGACTCACATCTCCCAAACCTGGATGTGGACTCACTTGGGTGTGTACTCCAGGTGGGAGTGGATCTGGTAGTACCAGTCTCCGTCTGCCATCTCATCAGTGGAAGTGACCCCAGAGGTCACCTCCTTCCCGTCTCTTTTCCAGGTCACTTTGATATGTTTGGGGTAGAAGTCGTAGACGATGCAGACCAGCACGGCAGGATGTCCACCACCAGAGGGCGCCTCAGAGTGCAGCCTGGCGTGGGGCTCAGCTGCAGCATACACAGTCAGATCAGTGACATTAATAACAGAGCCAATAAAGGGAGAGACTGAGGGGAGCTGGACTTAGATTTAGGGTTCAAACTGAGGATGGACATTATTTCAGGAAATGAAATTCAACAAGCTAACAGGTGAAAGGTGGCTGATAGGCTGACACTCAGGCCAGAATGTCTAGATAAACCCCAATCTCTGAAAAAAAAAAGAGAGTATGTTTTAAGTGTTAAATTTCTGAAATCAGCCGTCACTGCACATTTGGATCTGACCTTCACATTTCCACATGTGTTCAGAGTATAAGAAATGAACAGTCACCAACACAAAGGAGGGCAACAACCTCGGGGGAATATACCTCAATTCATTCTGCACTTTTTCAGAGTTTTCAGGCAGTGAGATGGGTCTACAGAAGGTTTACTGTTGAAGCTTCTTGGTTTGCACACCTTTACATTTTATTTCTTATTTTTTACGATGATTTATGAATGGATGAAATTTGAATTCAGTTACTTTTTTGTTTACAGAGTGCCTCTGGTCGGACCTGGAGTTGGTTTTTGTTATGATCCAGGAGTATGAAAAGTTAAAAATATCTTAGTACGGAAATATTACAGCTGATTTTTAATAACTAGTAACTCAGTAAGACCAACAGGTGGAGACAGAGAGCTGTGTCAGGACTAAACCTGTTCCTTCCTCTGATGGAGAGTTTGAGATTTTTCTGATAGAAACTGATCAAATATTGGAAATCATAATCGATTGAGAGTGTTTTATTGAAATATCAGAACGGTGATGTTATATCAAATTCTGATGAACAGTGAGAAAGAGAACTGCTCTTACATTTAAAATACTGCTGACTGTGAATTTTAAAGTGTGTAAGTATAAGAATATATGACTTTGTAATGTTAACAAACAGAGTTCAGTTTTTTTTTGGGGGGGGGGCTCAGTAAATCAGTGCAGTGATGAAGAGATGCTGTGTGACAAAACACAAACTCACCTGATGTAGACAGAGGCCCGGTCTCACTGTAGTAGGCCTTTGTATGTTCTTGACAGATTAACTTCTGAGCTCTCCTCCTGCTCAGCTCTGAAGGATCATTGTTTAAGCGCTCTGCATTCTTCAGACCGAGTTCAGTGTATCCAACATATTTCCCCAAACTGCTGCTGAACCTGAGGAACTCCAGTTTGTTGTAGTAATGAGAGTAGATGTACTCGATGTCGTTCAGATCAGTGGAGTTAAACTCACAACGGGTCACTTGAAGTTGCATTGATCCATCTGAGAAACACACAAGATCAGTCAGGTGTGTGTGTGTAGATCTCTCAGGTGTGTGTGTAGATCTCTCAGGTGTGTGTAGATCTCTCAGGTGTGTGTATAGATCTCTCAGATGTGTGTGTGTAGATCCCTCAGGTGTGTGTATAGATCTCTCAGGTGTGTGTGTAGATCTCTCAGGTGTGTGTAGATCTCTCAGGTGTGTGTATAGATCTCTCAGGTGTGTGTATAGATCTCTCAGGTGTGTGTTAATCGTACCTGTGCTGTTGAAGCCGATGAAGATGAAGATGAAGATGAAGATGAAGAGGAGGGAGACTCTGAGAAAAGTTGAAGCCATCTTGGTCTGCTGTCTTCACCGACTGAAACTCACTCTGACTGAGAGCAGCTCTAAAAACCAGAAGTCCTCATTAAATCAGCCAATCAGCAGCTGTTACCAGGCAGACGACTCAGACTACGGTCTGCTGCTGAGACACTGACACACACACACACACAGATACACACACACAGACACACACACACACACATAGAAAGCAATTACCCGTAGACCTGGTTACACACTGGACGCCGTCTCTGTCTGTCAGGTTTTATCTAACTCAGTCATGCTCCTCAGTTCTGTCACTGTTATTTGTGGTAAGTTCATTCATGGCGCACCATTCAAACTAAGTATAACTCTACAACAGAGTATCAGGGCCGTATCAGAGAATGTTTTAGTTTTTTTTAAGTTTAATTTTAAGTTATCTGACAAGAGTAAAGTTGAAAGTAAAGTCATATGAGAAAATCAACTTGTGATGTTGGGAGATTAAAGTCATACAGATATAACTGAGATAAAGTTCTACTCTCATTAAGGGTTAACGTCGTTTTGGTTATGAGAATTCAGTGGTGAGCAGCCAGCTGCCTGTACCAAGATGAGGAACATGAGTCCTGTAACAGGACTGTACATTAAGACATCACCTTTAAGACAGCATTACGTGGCTAACTGTTGTTTGGTTCCGTGGCTTTACTCTTTTTATAAAAATGAAAAAAATAATCCTGTTATTTGGCCATGATACTCTTTTGTACGGTTCAAAGTGCTTCTTAGAGCTGAAATTACGATACTGAGCAACAATGATTCATGAGAAAACAAAATATATTTAAAAATAAGAAAAGAAAGTACACTTAAACATTTAAATACAACATATACACTGTGTGCACAATTATTAGGCAAGTTGTATTTTTGAGGATAAATTTTATTTTTGAACAACTACAGTGCTCTCGGTCAATCTAAAATGTTAATAAACCTCAAACCGGAATATTTAAGGGAGTAAAAGTGAGATTTTGACTTCCTTAGGAGAATATCTATGTGTGCACAATTATTGGGGGCAGCTATTAGTGTGCAGAATTATTATGCAACTAAATTAAAAATGAAAAATTTTCCATCTCACTTGTTTATTTTCACTTGTTAAAGTGAGAATGATAAACAAACAACTCAATTTACAAATAAAAATTGTTGAAATTTAAAAAAAAAAAAATCTGTGATCAATACAGCCACCCTTCTTTTCAATAACAGTCATAAGCCTTTCATTCATGGAGTCTTTCAGTTTCTTGATCTGTTGACGATCAACTTTTTGTGTTGCAGCAACCAAAGCCTCCCAGACACTGTTCAGAGAGGTGTACTGTCTTCCTTCACTGTAAATTTCCCGTTTAAGAAGGACTCACAAGTTCTCAACAGGGTTTAGGTCAGGTGAAGAAGGAGGCCATGTCATTATTCTTTCGTTTTTAAGGCCTTTACTGGCGAGCCACATAGTGGAGTACTTCGTTGCATGCAATGGAGCATTGTCCTGCATAAAAACCATGGTTTTCTTGAAAGATGCAGACTTTTGCCTGTACCACTGCTTGAAGAAAGTGTCTTCTCAAAACTGGCCGTGGATTTGGGAGTTGATTTTAAGTCCATCTTTAACCCAAAAGGTCCAGCTAGCTCATCTTTAATAATACCAGCCCATATCAGTACCCCGCCTCCACCTTGCTGGTTTCTGATTCAAAGTGGAGCTCTGTGCCCATTACTGATCCAGCCACGGGTCCATCCATCTGGTCTGTCAAGAGTCACTCTCATCCCATCAGTCCATAAAACCTTTGAAAAATCTCTCTTCAGATATTTCTTGGCCCAGTCTTGACGTTTCGACCTGTGTCTTGTTCAGTGGTGGTCAGGTTTCAGCCTTCCTTACTTTGGCCATGTCTCTGAGCACTGAACACCTTGTACTTCTGGGCACTCCAGGTAGGTTGCAGTTCTGGAATATGACAGCACTGGAGGATAAGCGGTTCCTGGTACCTTTTCGTTTGAGTCTTCTCAAATCTTTGGCAGTTAATTTGCGTCTTTTTTTCTTAACACATTTCTTGCGACCCTGTTGACTATTTGCATCAAAATGTTTGCTGTTTCTGTGATCACGCCCAAATATCTTCGCAATTTCAAGAGTGCTGCATCCCTCTGAAAGACTTTTTACATTTTTTGACTTTTCAGAGTCACTTACATCTCTTTTTTAGCCCATTTTACCTGAGGAAAAGAAGCTGCCTAATAATTATGCACACCTTGATATAGGGTTTTGATCTCCTTAGGCCACACCCTCCCTCATTACACTAATACACATTACCTGATATGCTTATATCCAATAAGCATTCAAGTTTATACAGCTTGGAGTTGGAAAATATGCATAAAAATGAGGATATGATCAAAATACTCACTTGCCTAATAATTGTGTACACAGTGTACACTCACCGGCCACTTTATTAGGTACACCTGTCCAACTGCTCGTTAACACTTAATTTCTAATCAGCCAATCACATGGCGGCAACTTAGTGCATTTAGGCATGTAGACATGGTCAAGACAATCTCCTGCAGTTCAAACTGAGCATCAGTATGGGGAAGAAAGGTGATTTGAGTGACTTTGAACGTGGCATGGTTGTTGGTGCCAGAAGGGCTGGTCTGAGTATTTCAGAAACTGCTGATCTACTGGGATTTTCACGCACAACCATCTCTAGGGTTTACAGAGAATGGTCCGAAAAAGAAAAAATATCCAGTGAGCGGCAGTTCTGTGGGCGGAAATGCCTTGTTGATGCCAGAGGTCAGAGGAGAATGGCCAGACTGGTTCGAGCTGATAGAAAGGCAACAGTGACTTAAATAACCACCCGTTACAACCAAGGTAGGCAGAAGAGCATCTCTGAACGCACAGTACGTCGAACTTTGAGGCAGATGGGCTACAGCAGCAGAAGACCACACCGGGTGCCACTCCTTTCAGCTAAGAACAGGAAACTGAGGCTACAATTTGCACAAGCTCATTGAAATTGGACAATAGAAGATTGGAAAAACGTTGCCTGGTCTGATGAGTCTCGATTTCTGCCGCGACATTCGGATGGTAGGGTCAGAATTTGGCGTCAACAACATGAAAGCATGGATCCATCCTGCCTTGTATCAACGGTTCAGGCTGGTGGTGGTGGTGTCATGGTGTGGGGAATATTTTCTTGGCACTCTTTGGGCCCCTTGGTACCAATTGAGCATCGTTGCAACGCCACAGCCTACCTGAGTATTGTTGCTGACCATGTCCATCCCTTTATGACCACAATGTACCCAACTTCTGATGGCTACTTTCAGCAGGATAATGCGCCATGTCATAAAGCTGGAATCATCTCAGACTGGTTTCTTGAACATGACAATGAGTTCACTGTACTCAAATGACCTCCACAGTCACCAGATCTCAATCCAATAGAGCATCTTTGGGATGTGGTGGAACGGGAGATTCGCATCATGGATGTGCAGCCGACAAATCTGCGGCAACTGTGTGATGCCATCATGTCAATATGGACCAAGCTCTCTGAGGAATGCTTCCAGCACCTTGTTGAATCTATGCCACGAAGAATTGAGGCAGTTCTGAAGGCAAAAGGGGGTCCAACCCGTTACTAGCATGGTGTACCTAATAAAGTGGCCGGTGAGTGTATATGAAAGTAATCAAATTCAGCACACAGACTCATCTAAACTGCTCGTGCTGTGGTGTCCGGAAGTTTCTGAGTCTTACTCAGCAGAGGTGTGTGTCCCTGTAACACCTGTATGACCCACTCTGACAAGTTACCTGTCTGTCTTTCTCCATTTTTGTCATTTCCTGCTTTTTTTTTGTTATCGTCTTTGTCTTCTTCACTCTGCTCCTCATGTGTTAACCTCACCTTGATTAGATTCTCTTGTCTTTATTTTCCAGACTGCTGGTTTATGTTCCCTGTGTCCTCCTTCTCACTTATGATGCTGCTCAAGAACATGATGCAGTCGCGGATGGTATGGATGAATGGTATTGTCTATGCAAAAATGCATTGAACAAGTAGCACCAGCGTATTTGAACGAGATTCACTTTCTAGGCACTTTTTCCTTTGTCCCAATACAGCCTATGACCTCGAGCGAAGTTTCTTCGCGGAGTTTCAGATGCCGTGGACGTGGATGCATCGGCGATGCTGCGCTAAGGGTTTGACTGACCTGCGACTGCATCACGTTCTTGTTTCTCAAACCCCTTTTGCAAATAAATCGCTTGTAGCATGTCATGTGAAACCCAGCGTCATCAGGAACATTGTCAAAGTCGATATCAACGCAAAGTTTAAAAGTTTCTGCAAGGTCCTTAGTCTCACCGTGTAGAGAAAGCCACTTTCCAATACTAGTTCTGTAAGTTTCCCAACGTGTCCTTGTAAAGTCGAGAACGTCTTCACTCTGGACAGATGATAGATGCATATAGCATTGTTTCGCTCCTTTTTGTGCACTTTTGAAGGCCGTTTTCTTTTGTTCCTTTTCTTTTCTTCCTCTTCGCTTGTCTCGCTGCGAGATGCGGTCGTCGCCATGTTTGTGTATTTCTGATGCTATGGCAACGAGACTCGGCTCCTATTGATCCACGTGACAAAAATCGCTTCACCCCTCTGCATATTCGATTGCACGTGTGCAAGTATCACTACGCCGCAGAAAGGAAATAGTTCGACACCGAAACACTGATTACTAAAAATCGACAGGATGACATGAGTAGATATATTTTTTTTAGTACTTACTATCAATAGAGCTTTTTAATGAATCACAGTTTGTATTGCACCACTAAAGTGGAACGAACCAACACGATCTCATTCAGCCAATACAGCCTAATCGTAGGCTAAGCTAATGTGTATTCATGCCACTTCCTGAACGCAGGGTGATGGGGTGGGGAAGGAGGGGGAGGCCTGTCACTCATGGCAGACCGCGCCCCTCTCAGTCGAGGCCCGCCCCCACGGAAAAACAGGCTCAAAAGTCAACCTGAAACTTTTCAAGTTGAATCTGAAAAAAGAAGATCTGAAACCGAAAAAAAAGTTTTGAATCCGTAAAAATAAGATCTGAATCTGAAATAAATAAATAAAATTCAATCGAAAAAAAAAAAGTACTCAAAGATCGAAATATGCATTGAAGTGAAAAAAAGAAATAAGTAATTTATTCAAAAGTATTAAAAACAGAATCAAAGTTACATTTGAACAGATTTTTTTCATGCATTCTGGGATTTTTCAAAGTTCAATTTTGAAATTCAAGACTTTCAGGTACCATTTAATTTTTTTCAGGTTCAAATCTGATTTTTCTTATTATCTCATTATTTTTTCACTTCACTTTTTATTTTTTCACTTACACTACTTTTCAATACTTTTGAGCCTGATCTGGCTCCATAGAAGAGGAACCACTCCATGTAGATGTTTGTGAACTGGGCTTCTCTGCTTTGAACATTTCCTCAGCTTCCCTCCAGCCAAGATCTTTAATTCCAAGATATTTACCTGAAAATGCACAATTATCTCGATCCTCTCTGCCTTGGTCTCAGTTTGCGCAGTGCAGTTAATAACCTCAACCATAAACAACAGGAATTCATTTTTCTGCACAATCAGTGTCCTCTTTAAATTTACTGCATTCTTCACAGTGATTTCATCTGTAACTGTCTGCTTCAGTGACCTGACCCTCAGGTCCACTTGGCTGTGTTCTTACTTTTGTTTCTGCTTCGACATATGGGAGTCCTTGAGCTGTTCTGATTTTTTGTCCTTGTTGGCCTCACACCCTCTGTGAACAGAACATATTCATGTTCCCCAGAACATCAAACTGGATTACATCAGCATGACTCATGTGATAGTTTCACAGACATAATACGAAGTAAACCATTTCTATTTATCAGATTGTAGTTTTCTGATTTTACATTCCCAAGGCCGGTTCAGAAGACTGAACCTGGAGGACCTGAAGTAATCAACCACATGTGGATGGGCAGGCTGGCTAGAAGGATCTGGAACAACGTTGGAGCAACTGATGACTACCCTAGACCTGGGGTCAGTGCTGAGGTCAGTCTGGACCTTCTCTGTGGTTCTAAAGCCGAGCAGTAAGAATCAGGAGGGGAGTCTGATCAGAGTCTAGAGAAAGAGGTCTGGTACGGTCTGAACCCCTCAAACCTCCAAACAGCAGAGTTCAGTCAGACTGATGAGAGTAAACACCAGGAGACAGAGACGTCACTCACTGAAGCTTTATTCAACACTTTCTGTTTCCATGGAGACGCTTTACACACACACACAACAGCTGCGTTTAATACAAGATAATAAACAACACAGGTGATGATGACATCATCAGCCCCGACCAATCAGCTGCACTCGTTTCCTTTAATGAGGAAGAAGGTTCCAACAGCAACACCGAGCAGGCCGACAGTCAGACCGAGTCCACAGAACACAGCAGGACCGACACCGGGCTGGACCGTCTTCACCTCTGCAGACACACAACAGACACAGACTCTGAGATATACACACTGAGATACACACACTGAGATATACACACAACACTCTGAGATATACACACTGAGATATATACACTGAGATATACACACTGAGATATACACACTGAGATATACACACAACACACACACACTCTGAGATACACACTGAGATATACACACTGAGATACACACACACTGAGACATACACTGAGATATACACACTGAGATACACACACTCTCAGATATACACACTGAGATATACACACTGAGATATACACACTGAGATATACACACTGAGATACACACACACTGAGACATACACTGAGATATACACACTGAGATATACACACTGAGAAATACACACTGAGATATACACACTCTGAGATATACACACTGAGATATACACACAACACACACACACTCTGAGATATACACACAGAGATACACACACAGATATACACACTGAGATATACACACACACTCTCTCTCTCTCTCCCCCCGTTCCTAAAGTCAGACCCCTCTCCCTCTCTCTCTCTCTCTCTCTCTCTCTCTCTCTCTCTCTCTCTCTCTCTCTCTCACTCTCACTCTCGCTCTCACCCCACATCCTAGTCTGCGGTTTCTCCAGGGTCAGGTGGTCCACAGAGCAGCTGTAGACGTCTCCTTCCTGGGTGGTGACCTCCAGTTTGGAGAACTGGCTGAAGGTTCCGTCGTCTGTGTTCAGGAGGGGGACGTTCTTGGTGACCCCTTCAGTCACGTTCTCTCCGTTCTTACTCCAGAAGAAGGTCACAGGAGCCGGGTAGAAGCCGGTCACATGACAGACGAGGGAGTTCTTCTCCCCGAGCTCCAGCTGGTCTTTGGGGTAGACGATGGGACTGGACGGAGGGTCTGTAACCACAGAAAGTGTTTGGGTCAAGTTCTCTCTGCAGGAACTCTTTCATTTTCAGAGCAGCATCAAACCTGGACACTTAAATATCTGAGTTAGAATAGAGACTGATCCAGTTCATGGACCTGAGTAAGACTTTTTGGGAGGGCGGGCTGATCTGAGACAGAACGGGTGGGACATTGTACAAACAGTAACAGTTGCCATGACAACATGAGAACTTAAACTTTTATAATAATTAAAAAGTTGTCTTCTCATTGGGTTTGGTCATATCTGATTCACATTGTTATTGTTTCATTATTTTAAATACTGTTACAGGGTTTAACCTTTGTCCTGGTTCATGAAGTTTTGTTGAATATCACGTGACCTCAGCTAAGGTCCAGAATCAGGAGTGAAGACAGGAGAAAATCGTAGACTTGTTGATCCCGACTTTATTTTTATTTCATTCTGTTGTCATTCTCATGAACACGGTCATTTGAGTTAGTTCATCTTAACGTTGAAGACGTCAAACATTGATGTCGTTTCCTTTACAACCTTATGACATCTTTGACAGTTTATTCAAAGCTTAAGTTGAAAACCTGGTCACATCCATTTTTATGAACCAGAACCAAACCCAGTTCAGACCACAGATGTCAGGCCATCATATTGGGTGTCCTTTTTGTCCAGAGAGATCCGACCAGGTCTTAACAAACATCTGTCCTTCAGCTGAGCCCGGGCTCTACCAGCCTCATCCTTATTTACCTCCTTTGTGTCACAGCACTCTGGAGCTGGCTCCATGTTAACGGCAGGATCTCATGTTGTAACCGACTGACACACGAGGAAATGTTTTATGATGAGTCTATAACAGTTCAGGCCAAAGAGCCGGGACTCTTCAAAGTTCAGGGAGGAGGAAACTCAGAGCTCTGAGTTTCTGAGATCCACTATCACTGTGGAGTTAATACAGATGCTGCATTCAACAGGACAAACAGCCCAAGACAGGAAGTAAAGCTGCTGAGGGCTCTGTCAGCTGATCACTATGATCAATGCTAACAGTGATCTCCTCTCATGAGAGCAGTGTCGTTTTCGTCATATTTCGTCAAATATTTTCGTCAACGAGAACAACACTGGTTGTTTTCGTCAATTAAAATATTTCCCTTTTATTCCACGACGAAGACGTAACGTTGACGAGCTAAACATTGACTTCAAAATGACTGAATTCTGGATTTTTAACAAACATCAAAGGAAGTTCATTTATTTATTTAACTCTTTATTTTAATTATTTCACTTTCATTTAAGGAGATTCTCAAATTCAATTTAGAGGTCTGAAATATTTCAGACAGAAGTGAGGGTGTGTTTGTGTGTCTGTGTGTGTGTGTGTGTGTGTGTGTATGTGTGTGTGTGTGTGTGTGTGTGTTTACCTCGCTCTGGTTTGTAGTCTTTGAAGGCTTTACGAGTGATTTCCAGGTTGTGTTTGCAGACCTCTCTGTTACCCACAGCACCTTGATAAGCATCTCTGACACTAAAATGATCCATGAAGTCAGGCTGAGGATCGACTATGTTCCCTGCTTCAAAGTCTGCGAAGAACAGCTCTTCACCATCCAGACCGTACATGTTCTCAGCAAAGGTCTGAGTACAACCAGTGACAACAATCTCTTCATGAAGGTCTGAGGAGAAAACAGAGAACCTGTTAGTGTGTGTGTGTGTGTGTGTGTGTGTGTGTGTGTGTGTGTGTCTGTGTGTGTGTGTGTGTGTGTGTATCTTTTATTGTAAAATGAGTCACAAACTCACCATCAGCTGAGACACCGAGGACACAGGAGAGGACCAGGACCAGGATCATCTTCATCCTCTGAGACCTGAAGAAGTTGACCTACCTGAGACTCTGAACACCTGAACCAGACTGAGACTGAGAACACCTGAGCCGGTCTGAGACACTGAGGATCTGAACTGGTCTGAGGAGGACTAACAGGAACTCAGTGAGCAGCTGGCTCTAAAAACTGAACGGCCAATCAGGTTTTGTGACATCATCAGTTACCAGGTAGAGGCAGTGTGCTGCTGCTGCTCTCAGCAACTGTTGAACAGAGAGCTGCAGATCAACCTGATCAATAATCAATCACCTGTTGGTGTCCACCCTTCAAAATAAACTTTTAAACCTTCACTGTCACATGGAGATTTTCAGAATAAAAGTCTTTTAATTATTTTTAAAGTTTCTGTTGAACTGAAACAAACTTTGTAAAAACCCCAGAAGACTAAAACCATGTAAGACAACCTAGAAACAGGTTTTTAGGATCATCCAGATCCACAGTGACCCGACAGAACCAGAACCACACCTCTCTTTATGTCTGAAATAACACCTGTAGAGTTGGATCTTGGTTCTGGGTCTGAGGCTCTAAGAGAAGGACTGGTTTTTGTTGGAGTCCTGAAGTCCTCATCTGACTGACCTGATAGAGAACAGAGAGTGAGGACCCCCAGACCTCAGACTGACTCTGGTTTTTGTTTGTTAAACTGGGACACTTTGACTGTCTGTTTCCTCTTTCTCTGTTCCCCACAAAAACCAGTCTGACCAGTGCTGCCTTCAAGTGTCCCACTAAAACCAGGAGTTTTCAGTGTTTGTGTCTGACGCTCAGGATCAGCTTTAATACTCAGCTTCAGTGAGGACCGTGAGATTTCCTGCAGCACCTGAACATAGCAGCAGCAGCAGCAGTTTGTGGAAAGTCCCCACTGTTTACTTTCACTTCCACCTCAACAGCCAATCAGAGGACGAGCTGCTGGCGTGTCATGGGTCACCAGGGGAAGAGGACTGGTGAAAGACAGCAGGAGAGAGAGGAGGACAGGTGGACTCCATGAGGTGACCTTTTCATCTCATGGGGGGTTTACATATCTGCAGACGTTTCCTGGTTAGTTGTTGGTCTGTAGGTTCGTTGGTTGTTGGTTTGTTATTTGGTTGGATGGTCACTTGGTTTCTCGATTTGAGTTTTGGTTGGTTGCTCTGGTTTTGGATAGTTAATCAGTTCTTTGGTTGGTCGGTGATTTGACTTTTCATTGGTTTGCTTTTTTTAGCTGTTCTGTTGGTTCTTTGGTTAGTTAATGGGTTTTAGTTCATTGGCTGGTTGGTTAGTTGGTCAGTCTTTTGGTTTGTCGCTTGCTTAAATTGTTCTTTGACTGTCAGGTTCGTTGTTTGGTTAGTTGGTTCATATGTGTGTGTTTGTTCTGTGGTTTGTTGGTTTGCATGTTTACGGGTTATTTTGTTGAATTAAAGTCAAAGTCTCGTCTGTAATGGATCTCTACTTACTAAAGAAAACTGATTTTTTTCCCACAAATAAAAACCCTAAATCATTTTTATCTCACATCACAAACTTTCTATCGCAGCATAATGTTGACAGTATAACTACAGAACAAAATGAGTGTGGAGCAGACTTGTGAACGTGATCTCTGCAGACCAGGTGGAGCAGACTCAGGATCAAACTATTAAACCTGAAACTGCTTCAACAACAGAAACACATACCTGACTCAGTGTCCAGTTTTCTGTTCTCACTCAGAAATACAAGCATGTGTTCATGGTCAGGCCTGGGAGCTCCACCCCTCAGACAGTGGTGATGCTGGTATGCAGAGATACTGGTGTGGCAGCTTCACCAGTCTGGAAAGTCCCTGCCGTAATTCTGTACTGGTCTATCAGCCATGAGACTGAAGACGAGGTGGTGTCCTAGTGTGAACAGGAACCAACCTCTGCGTCTGTGAGTGTACGGTGACCTCTCTGAGTGTGTCATGTGTACGGCACCTTCAGCCTGGTGGTTTACATGAAGAGATACTTGAGACCTAAACACAGTGTTAACAGATGTAATATGAAACCACACAGTGACTGACTGAGAGAAGCTTTAGTAAGTATCAGAGCTGCACGATATATCGTTTGAGCATCGTCATCACGATGTACGTGTGAGAGATAGTCACATGTCAGAGCCTGAGGGAATGAACTCATCTAATTTCAAGAGAAGCTGATTGAGATACACTGCATGTGACTCTGCATGAGCTGTGCAGCGATCCACCAATCACATTCGTTCTTTACTCAGTTGCCAATCAGACTACCCTGCCAGCTGTCAATCAAAATTAGAGAGGAGGAAACCACGCCCCTGCACATGGAGTAAATCGCTGGCGCTGCCGGCGCGTGTCCGCTAAGAATTACTTTGGGAACTTCACTCATCACTGTTTAGCCCCACAAATAAGAACTGTATGGGTTTAAAATCGTACATTTACACGGAGCACTCTACTATAAGCGGTGCGCGTTTCTGCGAGGTGTATGCAATCCTCGGTGGGCACGTGTTTCTCAGCACAACATCAACGATTTCAAAATGAGAAACGAACCAAAGAAAACAGCCGAAGATGAAGACTCGTTAGCACAAAGAAAAGACGCGTCACTCACCTTTGAAGATCAATGCTTGTTGACAAAAAGAAAATCAACGTCACTTTTTGGAATTATTTCTGTTACAAGAAGGATGACGTCACTAAGCACCAGTTCTGTGTCGGCAGTGCCTTTCATCAGGGAGAGATAACGAGTCCCAGAACAATTAAAGCTCCAAATATCTCTGAGACAGACAGAAGTCATTCTACTAACATTCACTAAAAGAGGTAAGATCAGAGCAGGTTAACTGTCCTCAAGATCTCAGCAGAAAGTCAGATTCAGATCATCTGGTGAAAATTCCTCTATTTTTTTATATCGTCATGTATATCACAGAGTTGAAAAATATTGCAGTAAGTTTTATCCAATATCGTGCAATTTTTGTAAATATGTCAGAGTCCACGTCCCACCATCACTAACCAGGTACTCCACTGAATGTTATCTTTTATTGTCAGTTACTGTAATCAATAAATATAATAATTAATTTGACTGTTTGGTTGTATGGGAGGTCGTCTTGTTGGTTGGTTGATCAATCAGTAGGGTGATCAGTTATTTGGTTCATTGGTTGGTTATTTTTCAGTTTTGTTGGTTTGTCGGTTGATGGGCCGGTTTAGTTGTTAGTTTTTTGATAGCACAGTCAGCAGGTTGACCAGTTGATGGTTGCAAGTAGTTAAATCAATTTGTTGGTATTTTATGTGAGTTTATTTCATATGTTGGTTTATTGTTTGTTTAGACTGTTTATTGGTAAGTTTGTTGGTTTGCTGGCTGGTATATTGTTGTTTGTTCTGACTTTAAACTGGCAAGTTTTTAAAGTTTGCTGGCTGTTTTTTGATTGTTTCTTGGTTATTTTTACTGTATAGAGGTCAGATTGTTGGTTTGCTGGCTGGTTTTTGGTTGTTTGTTCAGACCTTTTACCAGTAAGTTTGTAAGTTTGCTGGATAGTGTTTAGTTGTTTGTTCTGACTGTTTACAGGTCAGTTTGTTGGTTTGCTGGCTGGTTTTTGGTTGTTTAGACATTTTATCAACAATTTGATTGTTGCTTGGGCTGGTTTTTGGTTGTTTCTTGTTTGTTCTGACTGTTTTCTGGTAAGTTTTTGGTTTGCTGGCTGATTTTTGGTTGTTTCTCAGTTGTTCTGACCTGTTTTGGGCATTTTTGTAGGTTTGCTGGCTGTTTTTTGATCGTTCTGACTGTCTACTGGTAAGTTTGTTGGTTTGCTGGCTGGTTTTTGGTTGTTTAGACATTTTATCAACAATTTGATTGTTGCTTGGGCTGGTTTTTGGTTGT